ACCCAGGCACCCGACAGCTGAGTCTGTTATGTCACCCGCTTAAAAATCAACCCCCCCCCCCCCCCCGGGCACCCTATCAGCAGAGTTTAAAATTTCCATTCACTCTTGTCTCATGAAGAAAAAATTATGAGTTGTGGAAACATATAACATCCATGGATTAAGTTACTATCCAAGTTTTACATGTCTTACATGTCTTGCATGCATAATATACGTCTTACATGTCTTGCATGCATTATATATGTCAATAACAGACGCGGACGAAGGGAAATTTTTTTAACGATTTGTAACGAAGAGTTTTACACTTAGAATTAATTTAAGTAAGTCTTAAAATTACTAGGAGCAGAAAAACAAATCAAAAAAAAATTTAGTAAGCGCTCATAATTAATGAGATAAAATAATTGAGACTTTTTATTAAATTAAAGTCTATAAATTAATAAAACCCAAATAGAAGTCTCTTCTTTATGATGAGTTGATTAGTCAAAGCCCTTAAAGCAGAGGCAAAGAATTGTATTCTTTTCACTCACAATACATGGCCACAGACACCCACACACCCTCTTACAGATGGACAGAAAGTTGAAGCTGAATCAGATAGTGACCCGACCCAGTGCTCCCTTCGGCCTACCCACCCATGGCTGGCACTTTCACCTCAATTAGATCCGACTCGCGTGTAATTATTTGCAATCAAAATGCGTGAGGCGTGAGCTCAACAGAAATCCATTCAAAATTAATTTAATTATAATATAGAGTAGTATGTGCCTCATTCTAAATGACTTGCTTGTGCTCTGGCAGAAACAACAATAATCATAATATTTTCCCCTTTGTTATTCTTTTTTCTTTTGGCGAAAAAAAAAAACAGAACGCATTAATAATACAAAAAACTCGAATATTACTCATACACCTTGTTGTGCAAAGACGATCCAGTACATTCGCCCAATTATTTTGTTGCTAAAAAAAATTTTTGTATTCGTAACGGCAAAAACGAGCTTTAAATACTATAAACTATATCTGGAATAATCTGAAATATATACTCAAATCTGAACAAATGGATCACAAAGCAATCGCAAGTCAAGTGCGAGGTGAGCTAAGTATGGACGATATTTGATTTTCTTATATCTAAATAAAATTAATTAAATCAAAAAATTTTCAAATATGACTTAAAATTTGATCGGAATTCGGAAATATTTAATATATACATTTATTGTAAGCTAAATAAGATATATTTAACGAGTATATCTTATCGAGTACAAGTATTGATTTTCCTTTTTCTGAGTAAAATTAATTAATTCAAAATTATATTTGGACAAAAAAAAGAAAAAAGTAAAATAAAGAATAACAAAACTATTTGGTTTTATTAACAATAGAAATAACACATAAAATATCCTTTCCGTTAGTATGAATACTCTTTAAACAAGCTGATAATTGACTCAAGATTGCTCCGCAGCTGTAATTGAATTTTCAGCGGTAATAATTTAATTATAAATCAAATTGAGCAGATACATAATAAATATTCAATGAAATAACAATGCTGACAAATTAAACTAACTGAACGGGCTAAAAGTAAATGCTGTCAAATTACATTAATTAAATGGATTAAAGGCAGAAAAATGAAAGAGTTTGTAAATGAACCAAGCAACCCACGAGTACAACCAAAAAATAAACTGATTACAAGGCGTTTTCCAATCTAATCAACCTTTTTTTATTACCGACCACAGACGGTTTAGTCAGCTTTACCAACACATTTCCTATCGACCTTATCAAAGATGTTATCACTTTTACTTTTATTTTAACTGCGTTTGTGAATTTCAGTCATCTAACAAACGTTTTCATTATTATTTTTATTATTTATTTGGTATTTATCCAAACGCACTTTGAATAAAAAAATCACATTAGCTGTTTATTGGGTGTTTATAAGTTTCTACAATAAAATTATAAAGTGCTTCGAGCGCAAAACTCATCTCCACAATTTTTTTTGGGCGACACATACGAGCTGAAGATGTGACAAGCTCGTATCCGCTTCCGTTTCTATCCAGTTATTGTCAAGCGACGCTCTCTTGAACTTGACAGATTTCGAGTGTTGGAAAACACATGACAATTTCGCTTTTGGTGTATGATAAGTGTTGTATAGATGTTTTCAATGGCAACAATTTGAAATTCAGCTAAAGCTCAATTGGATTTGGACTTTTCATATATGTTGGGAAAAAACTTTAGGAAATGCGTTGAAAAACACATGACAATTTTGCATTATTGGTGTATGACAAATGTTGTATAGAAATTTAAACTTGAAATTCAGCTAAAGGTCAACGAGATTTAATTTTCTATTTTTCTTTTCGTTCGCCTTTGTATTTGGGGATGTTTGCGAAAAACTTTGGGAGATATATTGAAAAACACATGACAATTTTGCTTTATTGGTGTATAATAAGTATTGTATGGATACTTTCAATTGCAATAACTTGAAATTCATCTTAGGCTCATAGGAGTTTCTGGACTTTCACATATTCTTAGGTCTGTTTTTCTTTTTATTCGCCTTTGTATTTGAGCATGTGTGGGAAAAACTTTGGGAGCGTCAACTTATTACGTTTTAGTTACGCACATGGAACTATTTACAAGTCTGCCAACTCAATTACATTGGCAATCTCCAGACTAACACAATGCGAGCCCAGTGCAATGAAATTATAAAACAGCCACAAACAACAAAGGGTACTCGGGAAATCAACAAATGTTTATGCGAAAAACTTGTACTTGTACTTTGAAAATGAAAGGAAATTGAGTCAAATTTCATGGCCCCTCGCCTGGCAAAGCTGTCAAGTGGTCGTTGCAATTAGTCGGTACGACATTTACAGATTGCATATTTGCCGCCTGGCTGGTCACCGGAAGAGAAGCTGTGGAAACTTTACTTTGTCTTTGTCCTGATTTAATTTTGCAATTAAAAACTTTTCATAATTGCAAACGTCAACACATTGCATGGTTGATTAACGTTGGCCTGTTGTCAGGCCAACAACCGAGCCGAAACTTTCAGCCACGCGCCGAGCCCGGGCAGTTGGCTAAAAGAGACGACAGATAACTGAAGCAGAATATATATCCGGTGCGGGGGTCTGTTCCGGATGCCCCTTTGCCAGGCTGTCGGTTGATGGCTCAAAAGTTGGCGTTGCCTCTAATTAGCAAACATTTGCAATTCTAACCAATTTATTTCATGTCCATCAGGCGGACAACTTGCCCATTAAATAAGATACACTTCAGAGTATTAGCTGCAGCGAGATTATATCGGAGCGGCCCGTTTAAAGTAAAGGGTCTGGTCTGATAAGCTTATTCGACTAAACTAAGATAAGTTTCATTATAATATACATGTTAAATAATTCGTACCTTTTGGATCCTCAGAGTACCAATATTGTTTTTGGAATTGTACATTCCACGATGATTTTGTCCGGATGAATTTTGGAGCAAAAGAAATATCTGTAATAAAATAAGAAGGAAAGAAAGATTTAGTTATGGCCAGTGTATGTAATAAAGCACATAAGATTGCTACACAACTTTTGACAACAGAACTTTTAAGTAAAATACTTAGAATCAATGCATGAAAATTTCAACCCCTACTTGAATTCTTAAGAATCGCACAGTAAAGCAATGTTAAACAAAACGATTTAATTTACATTTCGGTATATAAACATGCTCTGAGCTTTCTCTATAAGACACCATACACGCATGCAAACATATTAAAATACATATATTCATACACTAATAGACACATTCAAATTTAACATACATACATGCATACATGCATGCAAGAAGGGAACACGAAAAAAAGCAAATATATTGCGGACATTACCCGGGCTTGCTAAGGCCGAATATTACTCTATTAATTACATATATTTTTACATATTTATGTATTTCTTAAATTTATTTACATTAAAAAATGAGTATAATTTGATGCAAGCCCTGTTCCAACAAATTTTTTGCGCTTTTGAATTTTTAAAATCCTGCATGCGTGCACTTACATCACATATGTTAAATGCAGCTTCTTAGCGTTTGCGGTTTGCGCTTCGCGTTGATTGCCAATCTGTCAGTCTGTCAGTCAGTCAATCATTCAAGATTGCTTTCACTGCCTTTGAGCCAAAAGGTGTGTGCATTTTTCAAACAACTCAAAGGAAAACTGAAATGTATGTCAAATGTGGCGAAAGGCGACCGCAATATGTTATTATGTCATCCTGTGATCCAATAGAAGCTGTTGTTGCTGTGTGAAATATTGGTGTCAATGTGTCAATGTGTGAGGTGTTTACATGTACGCAATTACAAGCCATACAAAACATCTACAAAGCCACTTCCGAGCTTTTGTTTGTGTGTGTGCGCGGTGGGTTTTAATACACCTGCAAGCGGTAATACACTGTACACTCACACGGACATACACACTCAAATTATTTAATGTGCAAATAAGTTTTTGTATAATTTCTCCCACACTCCGCCAGCAATTTAAGTGCATAACTTTTGTGTGCAAAACTTTAATCACTCGGAAAAATATTAATTTATGGCCGAAACGTGGTAGAAAATCAAGTCAAACTGCAAGTTTGATCGATTTGGCATTGGAATGGAATTGGAATGGACGGTTATCGTCCCAAGGACATACACACAGCCTTAATTGCTGTGCTAGGCACACACATACTCACATGGCTTAAGGATTGAAGCGATTTCCGCTCAAGTTCAAAGCCAAGATTAAAGCCACACACGCACATACATCTATAATCACATATGTATATTTATTTTCTTAAAGATTTTTCCCGGTCTATATTTTCCTTGTAAGTGTCGCTTTTTCACGGCGAATTTTACATTGACCCGGCGTTTGTTGTATAAGTAAATAGCAACAAAGTAATTGTTGTCTATGGCTGCAATGTATAATTTACACTAAGTAATCAAAATTTATGTATTTTCCTAGCAGTAAGAAGTGCTCTGTCGTATCAAGTTCTTCGTAGCAATTTTATTATCTAATATTTTATATTATTTATTTTTAGACCTACGCACAGCATTCGATCTGTTGGATAGAAATCGGGATGGAAGAGTCACGGCAAACGAGTTGCAGTTCATGCTCAAGAATCTGGGCATAAATGTGCGTGATGAAATTATTCATGATCTTATACGTGAGGCGAGCCATTCAGGTAAGTGACACTTGCACCTGCACAAGTGGCCACAAGAGCTACATTTTAACTAACACAAATGTTGCCGCAAAGCCAAGCAACAGGCTGCTGTCAACTCCCCCATTGAGAGAGGGTGTGCGAGAGTGTGTGTGTGTGTGTGTATGCTGTGTGTTTGTTTGATAGAGTGTATGTGTGTGCTGTGTGTGTGTGAACAGGTGGACATGCTTTGTCTTTTCTACAGATAAATTAATATCAAGCTTTAATTTATTTGTGCGTAATTCGAATCAGAGCAAGAATTTGCTTGCAGTCCTATAATCCACTCCTTTATTAATATTTAATTATTTTTTAATTTGGTATATATGATTATTAACTAAAACATTTAATCAATCGATTTGTCATATTAACATTGCGTATACGCCGCATAGACCTTATATTTTCGATGTTTATATCGCAGATATGATTTAAATGCAAAACTTTAAAATGAGTTATTTAACATACACTTTTCATTTATCTCTTACCTCAATTATTATGCAACCCACCCAAACACCGCTTTTAATACTAGGCTCTATTGGGTAACCGATTGTGGTCTTTAAAGCCGTATACGCGGCCAATGCGAATTCCCACTAATCCAATTTGCAGAGTTTTTTATTCCGTTTAGTCGTTAGCTAATGCAATCTGCGTTATAACAAAAAAAAAAAAAACAAAAAAGTATGCCTCATTTTATTAGCTTTAAGCCATGGCAATGGTCAGGTCCAACAGACTGGAAGGCCTTGTGGGGCATCCTGCTCCTCGTCCGGTTGTTGTCCTGGCATTTGCCTTGTGACCGCGCATTGTTGATTTAATTTGTATGATAAAATTTTGACGGTCATTCCTTTTCTTATTGCTATTATTTTGTTAGACAAATTAAATTAAATTTAATTAAATTTTCAATTTCGTGTTGAATTTAATGCCTATTTATAATTTTCATTTCTGACTATTCGCACAAACGCATGTTAATTGTTGCTACAAAATTTATTAATTAACGTCAACATTCCGATGCGCTTTTTGTGCAGTTCATAAAAAGCTTATCACAAATGGGCTTTGCTCGGACAAAAGCCGCAAATTGAAATCACAGTCACGCACAGTTCGCATTTGATAAAGCACCTAGAGCAGCACACACACACACATAGAAAGGCACACACAGTACTCGTGTGCAATAAGAAGGGAGGGCAACTGTTGCTGACAGCACTCGAGACTTGTTTTGATGCCTGCCAATGACAGACGCCGCAGGGTTCGCTCTGCACATGCAGAAACACACATTTTTAATGCCAACAAAAACCTCAGACAATGACACGTGAATCGAGTTCCAAAAACACGAGAAAAGCAGCAAATCAAAATAAATTAAATCAAAGATAAGTTGATTTTCCTCTTGTAATTAGAAGCCGCAAGATACCAAAGCTTAATGAATTCTTATTGCATGGAAGGATTACATTTACTTGAACTTAATATTTATTATCGACCTTAATTAAACGCAACCGAATACTTTACAGTTACGTTAACGAAGTATAAAAGTTAAATATAGTTTTCTCCTTCTTAAAATGCTTAAAATGGTATAACATATTACAGCAGAAGAAGACTTTTCTGACCTCAATCAGTACTTATCAAAGTCAATCTAGCTACCATCTCAGACATTTTAAAAACTACAGATGAACAATCTTTTATTTGTTATTACATTTACTACATTTCACATTTTGCGATTCCATTAGATAGTTTTTGGTAACATGTGAGTGGCAAAAGTAACGCTTCATTAAATAAACAGCTGATCGGATTGTTTTTTTTTACCCATGCGCCGCAAAGTTTTTCTTCCAAATGTTAAAGCTAGATTTATATCCTTATTCCACTGTCAACATAACTAACATTATGTTATATGTATATATTATATATGTAAGTTATTTTATGCCCTGGATTACTTATAAAGATCTAATAACAAAAATGTCCTACATAAATATTGGAAAAGAAGAAGCTTTATTATGCTCTTAGCTTCAGCTCGGTGCTATGTACAGGATATCTCCTAGCTAGGTACTCCCCGTCCAGCGAACTCTTACTCATGTTTCCAGTTTTCTCGCTACTGTTTTTCTATTTGCCATCAACTTGCCACAAAACTGTTGAACGCGACGTAAAGTGTAGACTTTATGGTTTCATTTGCATTCTTTGGGTTTCATTATTGGCAGCAGCTTTCCATGGACAGCTTTCCTGATTTAGTTGTCGCTGAAAAACCTTATAGAAGTTACCCAAGTTCTAACAACTCCCCACTTTCCCTCAATATTTACCAGGTTATTTATGTGCGTCTTTATGGGGACTGAGCTGTTGGACCTGAACCTCGGGGTCAATTGTCGTATAAACTAGGTCAGTTGCGCTCACATTTTGTGTACTTGCGAGAGCGCCAAGCTGGACTTTTTATTGTCGTTCAGAAGACGATTAATTAACGCATAAAAATGGCAAAAGTTGATTGTCGCGTAAAATTGAGACCTTTAAATACATTAAACATATTTAAATGCTTTCTAATGTTGTACATTGCTTTTGCTTGATTTTATGCGTTGCTGACCTGCCCACACACACACACACACACACACACACACGCTTTTCCCTTTATTTCTTTTGTGTGACCATTAGTTTTATGCCTAATATGCCTAATTATATCGATATATGATTAATTATATCAATATATGTATATCGATATCGATATAAGTCTATCGCTATTGTATATTTCTTATTTTGTTTGGTCACATTGATCTTTTCACCAACCTCAAATTAAAACTTAAAAAGTTGTATTCTTAAACTGTACAGCCCTTCTATCCCCTTAACGCTATTTAAATGGATTCAGGGTAAGAGGCAAGAGATAAAAAAGTCCCTTGGTTGAGTAATTTATGTATATACTCAGACATAAACACAGCGTACCTGCTTTATTGGACTAAGTATATAATGGACTGTATATTTGATTCCACATTGGGCTATATTCCTCATTACATATGTTTATAAGGACAAAGGCAATGCTCAATGTTTATTGCATGTTTTCCAAGCAAACCGGACTGAAATTGCGCAAGAGCAGAGAGAGGGAGGAGGGAGAGGAGGAGAGGGCGAAGACAGCTGTAGCGAACGGGCAGCAATCAAGCTTTCGCACCTACACACACACACACACTCACACATACCTTACACACACACAAAAAACAGTTTGTCGGCACACTTCCGTTTCCGCTGCACGTCGCACTGTTGAGGTCATCCGCAGCAGCAGGTGCATTTGCCAATAATTGATTGCATTTTGGCATAAAGCCGTTGCCATTTGCCATTTTCTACTTCTGCTGCTGACTGCTTACTGCTGCTGCAGTTGGTTTGACAGTCATTTGTTGTGGCCAACAATAGAATGTTGTTTGCCTTTTAGTTTGAGCCTGCAGCTTATAAGCACTTTATTTGCAACGTGCTTGGCATTCATCGATCTGTTTTTCCTGTTGGTTTCTCAGCTGTAATTTGATAAGCAGCTAAAGTGATTACAATGGCCACTCGCTTTACAATCTAATTACGCGCCTGATGTAATTAACAGAGCAAAGCAGGACAAAGATCCTTTGAGCGCATCTTCAATAAAGGAAAGTCCACACAAGCCTCCATTGCTACTGAGCCTGCGATTTAAGTCCGAGGCAGAGCTCAGAGCCAAACGTGCAAAAATAATTCGCAGCTCAACTTCTAAATCACAGCGAAAACAGCGTAAAGTGTTCGACTATTAGATACCCTGTATGCAGCGCTTCATGCCTACAACCAACTAAATTTTAAACATGACATATAAACTCTCAGCTCATCATCTTGAATTATGTTAAATATTTATACACCTTAAGGGCGCGGGGATACCTCCTCCTTGTTCAGAGGAAAATAGTTGTGAAGTCAACAATTTCGGGAAAAAAATTTACACAATGATTCGACCTACTCTGGCTGGCATTGGTCAAAAGTCCTTGCTGCTGATGAGGGGCACGATAATGGGACGCAATTTTCATTGTCCTTGGACTTGTCTTGGCTACAATGCGAAGGCGCAAACATTTCGTATTGTATTTTAAAATGAAATGACAACATTCCGGAAAAATCGTCAGTTCGGGCACAGACAAATGAAAATGTCAGCGCCAGCAGCTAAAACCCTAAATGCCCATAGCAGGCCGCAAGAATGATGATGATGCCGAGTGACTTACGAGAAAATATAGACGTCACATAATACCCTATTTAACAATGAGATAGTGTAAGTAACGAGTTCAATAGCTTCTATCAGAAGTTCTGATGCATTCCATATATGCAAAATAATAAAAAAATGACGAAAAGGTCTATTTATAAATCTAGCCAAAAACATTGTTAACTTTTTGGTAATACTCTCTCAAGGTTTCTGGCTCTGCGGGATTAGCAAACGATAACCTTGTTTTTGCTGGGTTATGGTGGCAATTACCAAAAAATTTTATAGATTCAACGTCGCCAGCCTGTCTGTACACATGTACTTATATGCTAGCAGGGGCTGAGCCGTGGCATTGAGTGTGCTTTTGCGTGGGAAGCCCATCGTTTGGTTGCCCTAACAAAAAAAAAAACAAAAATAAAAATTTGGCAAGTATACTTGAATGAAGCATAAATAAGGAATCTAACAAAAGGTAACAAGAGAAAGTTTTTTAATATATTGATAATACCTAGACAACAATTGTTGTATTTTAAGGTTATCTTTTTGTAATACTTTTTTACCTTTTTCCCCCCAATCTTGTTGTGAAGAAGTGAATATTATAAAAATTATATAAAGCTTTACAAATTAAAAAAAAAAAAAAAAAAACAATAACAACAACATTTAAGATAAAAGAAAAAAATATGCATTATCGAAATACATTTGTTACAGACAAATTTTTAAATTATTTTGTAATCTTTTTTATAATCTTGTTCTCTCGTTTTATATACCATTGTTATTATATATCATATATATATTTTTATATATCATATATATATATTAAAATAGGGTTTCGATATCGATTAGTATCGATCACTTTGAAACGGGGCAAGCTATCGACTATCGGTAACAAACTCGTTCTGCGCGGGCACTAGGAAGACCTACTGGTAATTTAAAGTCTCTAGCTCTTATAGGTTCTGAGATCCTTGCGTTCATACATTCGGACGGTCGGACGGACAGCCAGACGAACATGGCTAGATCGACTTGGCTATTAATACTGATCAAGAATATACATATACTTAATAGGGTCGATGATGGTCCCTTCTGCCTGTTACAAGGACATTGTACCCTTTCTACCCATTTTTAATTGGTTCGAGGTATAAAAATACTTATATTTAGCTTATATTACAATTGCTTTACAACTTAGTACTGCTAGATGTTGTGGCTGTTAACTTTTAAAAGTTTTTGTTAATGTTCAGTTTCTTATCTTGTTTCTATTTAAATATTGTGGTTGCTTTGAATATATAAAATTTAAATACTAAACTCAATTTTATATATTTTTTTATATAATCGGGGCTTATAACACTTACCTGGACTACAGCGTATCTGCCTGTCGGTTACTGCCGGCCCACTCATTTGGTATCCGCTTGAGGTCAAGGCCGCGGAGGTTCTTGTAGCTGACGCAGTTGCAGGAAGTCGGTGAACAGCAAAGCGCTAACGGTTTTTACTTGGCGCTTATCTCTGCACTTAATTATAAAAGTCTCAGAAAGAACGGAAGACACGGAATTAACAGGGTTGCCACACAGCCGAAAAAAAACACGATTTGCACTGGTTGGCAGAAACCTGCGGCGCACAAAAGTAGACAACGTTCATCTGTGTGCGTGTCTATGTATATGAATATGTATGCAATGGAAAATAACAATGGCCCCGCTTTTCTCTCGATGTTGTCCTCGTCGCTGGCGCTTGAAACGTGCAAAAATTGTTTAACTAGCAAGCAACAGCAAAAGACTGTTTTCGTCTACGTTTTCTCTCTCCTCCCTCTCTAACCAGCACCCGCGACCTCTCTCTCTCTCTCCCTCTATCTATCTTACGCTCCGTCTGCGTTGAAACTATTGTTGTTGCACTTGTATTTAGCTTAGTTTTTACCGCTAAGTCTGACTCAATCTGCGCGTTTCAATTACAGGAAACGGTTTAATCAACGAGGCCGAGTTTCTGCAGTGGGTTGGCAGAATCCAGGCGCTGCGGGACGATCAACAGCACGACGAGAACTCCAGCAATGCCAGCAAGCCGGTAGATGAGGCCGACGATGTCACCGAGGACTTGATAGCTGCATTTAGGTAAGCTACCCCGAAGTAGCCATTGCTCACCTTGAAGTTAACTAACTTATCCGCAGGGTATTTGATCGTGATGGCAACGGGTTTATTACGCGAGATGAGCTGCAAACCGCTATGGAAATGATTGGAGAGCCGTTGAACGAGGCGCAGCTGGAGCAGCTGCTCGCAATTGCCGACTTGGATCAAGATGGGCGAATTAATTACGAGGGTAAGTAACACACATACACACGTGTTGCACCCACAAAGGACACAAGTGACGCAGGCAAGCTTAGAGTTGTTTTTTTGTTTTTGTTGGTGCGAAGGACTCATAAAAAATAAAACCGCAAATGCGTGTACTTTCACTTTTACCGTTATTGTCCGTGCGTTAATCAAGCCGAAGCATAAAATACACACACATACACACTCACACACACACTTGGGTATATAGCCTTCTGCCAATATTTGAGAGGGTCTCACACATAAATCAGCTAGACAAATACAAAGGCGAACACAACACAACTGGAAGTTAAAGTTGAATAAACCCAGAGGCAATACAAGTCATCCCCGCCAAGTCATCAAGGTCCACCTGGACTTTTTTATAGACACATTATTTGTTTAGCTGCACCGTTTTTTGAATAACAATTCCAACGAAAAGCTATCCTTGGCTAAACACAATATGATTAAGCTTGAGTCGCGCTGCCGCAAAGTATGCAATGCCTTAAACATTGAAACTAACCGAAGAACAATTAACACACCTTTAAGTCGGTTCCGAGTGCGATTTAATGTTACAATTTTATACAGAACCTTTCGACGCGCACAAAACGACACCGATAACTTTCCAATCACCTCCACGATCACCTTTTATTTGTATCAACATATCGATACAAAAAAGTACTTAGCTTCAATTCTTAAATTACTATCGTTTATATATCGTACATATCGCAATAAGCTATTAACATTTAACAGAGGTACTTATCGAATATACTTATAGCGGGTCTGTTAATGTCTGATACAATTTCACATTTATTTCACTTTTCGAGGGTATTTTCGTGTACCATCGAACAATTGCCATGCTGGCAGAAAGAGACGAAGCAAACAGTTGGCTAAGGACACGTTCTATGTGTCCCCTGCGTAATATTAAATTGATTTACGAAACACAAACATAAATGTCCCATTTGGGCTCAAGTATGCCCTGACTATATCTACATGCACATATTTAGCTGCATGTGCGTTTGTGTACTCTGACTTGGGTTCATCATTAGGTCGCATTACTAGTTGATACGTTGGCCTTGAAACACGTGGCGTTCCTCTCCTCCGTCTGTCGACTTATTTGCTGATAGCTGCAATTTATTTATCTTACGTTGGCGTGGCCAGTAGAAGAAGGAATATGTGTAGTACTTTTATACACTCTGCTGTTAAAAATGGGTTCAATGCTGTTATTTTCCTCTTGGCGGTCCACTTATTCCCAATTTTATAAGAGTATTTCTGTATGTACGTGAAATATACGGTATTTACAATTCGAGCCCTTTTTCCGTTATTCTTTGTTTGGTTTTTTTTTCGCTGGCACTGCACATTGTTCTGGGCGTTGATTGGGCAATTCGGACTCGGAAAGTCCACTTGGGAATCAACTTTCATCAATTTTATTAGAGGCGTAGACCATTTCCCCTCCACCAATTCCCTTTACACTTGGCAATGGGTGTCGCTCGGGAATTTCTCTAAGTAAACTGAATTTAATTTCTGCCAAAAACTCTTTATGCTTTAATCATCAATTTTCTTACTTTCTTTGCAGAGTTTACGAGACTTTTGCTGTAAGCGAACAACTGGCCGCAATTACAGATGCATGGCAAGAGCTTAACAAATGAAGCCTAATTATAAAGCGATTGCTAACATACTCAGACAGAATTCATAAATGTTTCACAAAAAAATATATAAATCTAATTATATATACTAAGAACCTGAGAGAAATTGTAAGAAGCACCAGCACACACACACACATAAAAATCTAACTTTGATTTGATCCTCAACAAGTTTCCAATTTTCCCTTTGAATATTCACTTGGACATGCACACACACACACACACACACACACACACACACACACACACATACAGCCACAGGCGAACCCTAGTTTCTAAATCATTTGTAAAAACGCCAATTTTTAATATTCATGTTTTGTACAACCTTAGTTAAGAGAAAATTTGTGTGTTTTTGATGCAGAATAAAAATTAATTTATTAATAACATTATGTAATACATCATTACATACACATACACACATACACATACACACACACATATATATATGCAAATTCGGATAAGTCTGAGAGCGTGAGTGATATTGTGTTTAGGGTGCTGCATCGACAAAAAACAAAGCATGTTAAGCATTGTTAAAATTTAACAATTGCATATATATATATATTTGAATAAAGATTTCATCTGTTTGTGTCTTAAATAAGTTGAAATGCTTTATGTGTGTTTTAAGCAGCAACAAAGCCACAAAAAGTTTAAAAGTTGTTAGCTTAAGCGATATAAAATTAAAAAATTTACAATATAAATAAGAAATATTGAGAAAAAAAAAAAACCTTGTATCAATTTCAATTTGTATGCTATATAAAAAAAATCCCTAATGGGAATCCAATGAACGTAATATATTAAATGTCTAGATACGTAATTGTTTACCTATTTCAATTTATGAATATATACAAAAACAATAATGAAAATTATTAAAGCTCTTAATTATAAAGCAAACAATTATCAAAATGCAATTCAATTGCAAAGTAAAGGGAAAATCTCCAAAAAAAAAATCTGTTATGGTATTATCAAAATATATATTTAATAAAAAAAATTCTTTTTTTGGCAAAATCAAATGCAAAAAGTAAAAACAACAATTATTTTGCAGTGTATTCCGATTCCTATTCATCTCAAATACCTTCCATATGATTGCTTCCTTCTATATTTGAGTTTATTTCTTAGATAAAAATATTGCAAAATTCAAGTCCATTGCATAGCCGTCCCCGTACATAATATAAAAAGATTTGAAATTGATCGATCGTCGATTTCAAATTATTTTTGCAGAGGTAACTCAAAAACAAATATATATAAAAAAGTGCTCTTTTAAAATGTCAGTAAAACGATTAGAAATAATATATATTTAGATCAATATACAAGCCTGTGTTTACAATTACTAAAAGATCAAAAGAAAAATGGTACAAATAGTCAAAAGTAAAATAACATTCAAGGAAGGCAAACAAAAACATTTTTGTATGGTATTTACAGCTACCGGATGAGAGATTTAATTAAACTATTCTCCAAATCGGATCTACAAACGTAAATATGTATTCAAACTAGGTTTGTTTCAATGAATACCCAATGCATATGAATATGTATTCAATAAATACCCAATATTTCAATATTACCCAATATTTCAATAAATACCCAATGTATGTGAATATGTATTCAAATACAGTTTGTTTCAATGAATACCCAATGCATATGAATATGTATTCAATAAATACCCAATATTTCAATATTACCCAATGTTTCAATAAATACCCAATGTATGTGAATTTGTTTTTCAAATACAGTTTGTTTCAATAAATACCAAATGTACTTAGCTTACGTAGATTTTGATGACATCTAATTGTGCTTAAAATATTAAACCTCAAGAACTATAACTTTACCGAATACTTACTAAATATGTTATTTTTTACGCGAAATACCTTTAAAAAAAAAACTGTATAACTTAATGGGTGACATACAAACAAGATTAAGACATTATGAAGTATATGCATTAAAATGTTAGGTATTTTCGTTTAAGTATTTTGAAGATTTCGTAACTTTTAAATGTAACGATGTAATATTATCGCTCTCATAAAAGTTGCTAACAGAGAGTAACAGGATACCAGATTTTGAAATAATCAAAATATATTATTTAAAAAGAAAAGATGTAATAAAATGGATAAAATATATAACAATATACCGACGCTCAACAGAACATGTTTTGTTTCATTTGAGTTTTGAAATGTCTACAGAAGGCTTTGCATTTTTATTTCGGCTCTCGACTGCGACAGTTCAGTATAACATTCACAAGTACTAAAGAAACATTCAGTAAGAAAAATATTGTCGCCCAATTGTCGACGTTTCTAAATTTTACTCTGTGCATATCGTGTATATTTTATATAAAAAAAAAATAACAATAAAAGTTGTGACAGCGTAATTACTTTGAAAAATCATGAGCGATCTAGATGACAAGGTAAATATAAATAACGCTTTGCGTTTAAAAAATACCAAACTATTTATCGATAAGTCTTGAGCAACAAAATTCACCGATAAGCAGTTTAACTAGTTCATATTAAAGACTCGCGTTATTTGAACCAGTTCGCACGTGAATGTACCCTCGCGGAGCCCATACGAAAGTAATTTTTTATACAACGAAAACGACAGTGCAAACTGATTATTGTCCACTGTGTTATTTAACGTTCTTGTGTTGTATTAAAAAGGGTCTTAACTACCCGAAAAATATTTAGCAAGTGTTTAAGATAAAGCCGCAAAAGTGGATACCGATACCGTAAAAGTCGAGGATTTGATGGACTCTGATCCTGACATTGAGTTCATTGAAAAGGATAGCGGGATGTCTTCGTTGGGTGGTAGCAAGGACGAGACGCCAGAGCGCCGCACAGTGGCAATTGTAAGTGGAGAGCCGAGTTTAATGGGGCTTGAAGACATCGCCGCTGGGCTTATCTTGCTCACGTAATTGGAGAACTAGTCCATCTACTTATCACGACATACATACATACATACGTACATTTGCACATGTACTTATTGATTATTGCAACGCATTTCTTTTTTTTCAGCCAAACGATGATCCGCAGGCGGATGCTGAAAATTACGATGATGTAAGTGCGTGCGATTCATATTTGTAAACATCGCCGAGTCCCGTAGCATATGCATATATAGCCTGCGTTCTAACCTCAAATTTTGTTATTTAGGAACCAGATGAATCGTTCGGCGAACGGATGTTGGGACTGGGCGAAATGTTCCCGGAATCAGTGCGCAATGTGGCCAGCGCCGTGACCAGCACCGCGGTGAAGAGTTTCCGCAGTCTCTATCAGTTCTCGTGCAATGCATCATGGATATTCTTTACCAGCTCCGTCATACTATTTGCGCCCGTCATCTTTGAGACCGAGCGCGCCCAAATGGAGGAGCTGCACAAGTCACAGCAGAAACAGGTGCTGCTTGGTCCTGGCAGTGCCATGGCCGCAACTGGACCATCGCCCAGTTTACCATTGATTCGTTAATTTACATTCGATATACATGCATGTACGTTAGTTTTGGGTTTACCAGCGGGACTCCAATGCCACACGCTAGCATCTAAGTCGGATCCGTCAGTCCACACACACACACACACACACACACACACGCACATGCCACACAGCAATAGATATTCCAAGTAACCAGAGCCACGCCTCAAGCATTTACCATCGCGATGCAGCATAGCCATAGCCATCAGAGAATCATCTTGGACACATCTCGGAGCAGTTGGCAGAACTTCAACTAGGGTTTAGTACGAGTATTTTGTAGTTGGCCTCCAAAAACCACATCAAATTCTAACAATTAATGTTTAAAGAAATTAATAAAATATACGTTTATTAAGAGTTAACAGCCAATAATGTGTCCACTCGCTCGCGGACCGTACGCGTCCAGGTACTCACGCGGAATGGGCTGCTCCATGAAATAGCTGAAGAAGTTCAGATTAAGCAAACATTGTACGAACAAATTTTGTCCTTTGTCCCATTACTCTGCACTTGTATTAAATATTATATCTGGCACTCGCTCACCTTACGGTCCGCCCAGGTACTCGCGCGGAATGGGATGCTCCATGAAATAGCGTCGAAATTCGCCGGCGTATTTGTTGCGCAGGCCGCGTTCTCCGTATTCGTTGAAGCGCTGCGCTAGGAACACATAGACATCGAGCACTTTGGCGTGGGCCGACAGTTGCTTGAAAGATTGCGCCGCACGCTCCAGTATGTCCAGGGATTTGAGGAGTTGCGCCTTGCGTGCATCCGCATCCTTGATGGCCAGCAGGCAGCGTACAAAGACGAAGTCTGTCTTGGCCCGTTCGTATAGCCCGCCATTAATGTGAATGTCGTCCATGCTGCGTTTGATGGCCTGGTAGGCCTTTTGGGGCATGCCCAGCATCAGCAGGACCTGCGCGAGCAGCATGTCCACCATGGCCAGTTCGTAGTCCATCTGTGAGTCGGACATGTCCTCGGCGACGCGCAGCAGCAGCGTCACCGCCTCGCTGGAGAAACTGCCTTCGGCCAGGCTGCAATAGGCCAGTAGCACCTGGATGCGCATCCTGAGCAGAAATGGCAGCTCCGATCTGGCGGCCAACTTATCGAGCAGCCGGCGTGCATTGTAGAACTCACGTTTGGCCACATAGATGGCGGCGCGCTGTTGCATCGCAGCCGCCGCATCGAGCAGATGCAGCTGATCGCATGCCTTGAAGGCGTCGTGCCAGCGGCAGCGATAGATGCCGGACTGGATGATCACATGGCACTGGCTGATCATCCAGCACTCGGCGCTGGGCATTCGCGGCAGTTGCTCGCGCGCCCGATGCAGCAGGACGCGCGCCAGCCGTAGCTCGCCCTGCAGATGCAGCCACATGGCATAGCTGGCCAGGGCGCTGCCCAATCCGGCCGATCCGCCGCTATTGAAGCGCTGCCGGACGGACAACAGCAGCTGGGCATAGAGGGCGGACAGCTCGTGCCGGCCATAGGCACACCACACGGCGCTGCGCAGCGCCAAAGCCTCGGAGGCATGATTGGACAGATTGTTGCGATTGGTCAGATGATCGCTGTGCTGCAACAGATCGAACAAACGCAGCGGCTGATAGCCGGCCACGGTGCCCAGCTTGACGGCAAAATGCAGAGCCAGCGTATAGTTCTGCAGCATGTTCCCGTCCGCATCGCTGATATCCGCCACGCTGCGCTGCACGTACGATAGAGGGAGTTCATCACGGAGCAGACAGTGCCAGGTGTTGGCCAGATTGAGGCTGCGCTTGTCGCCGTGCTCCTGGGCGAGCATAATGCTCTCCCTGAGCGCGGCCAGGGCCTCGTCGCGATGCCCGAAGGCGGCGTGCAGCACGGCCAGGTTAATGCAAAAGTACTGATAGCCCTTCTCCTGACTCATCAGTCGCACGGGGGATCGATCCAAAGCGCGATGCAGCGCCGACAGCGCATTGTAATAGTCGCGGACGCGCAACTGATTCATGTAGCCCAGAAAATAGGATGTCGTACTTAGGGGCAGATCCTGTATAATTTCCTGCACCTTGCGCTGCAGCTCCTTGGGCGAGAGAGCGCTGCTTTCATCGTTGTCCAGCAGCTCCGACTGTTTGTTGATAAAGAATTTCGCCTGCTTGGGTGCCCACTTACTGAGCGTGTTGCTTTCCCCGCTGCTCGACTCTGGCTGCTCCTGCTCTGCTCCTGTCACTGCCGGGGGCGTGTCCGCACGGTGCAGCACTCCGCCGGCGATAAGCTTTCGCGGCCCCGTAGCCAAGGCGCGAATGCCGCGCTCATAGTACGCGCAAATATTTCTGTACATGCACATCATCTCGGCAAAGGTGAAGCGCTCCAGGACGACGGCAATGCGTCGCACATAGACGCCCACCATGCTGAATTGGCTGACGCCGTAGTCCTCGTTGAGCAGCGTGTCTATGTTCTGCATTTCCGCAAAGTCAAACAACGCCTCAATGCTGGCCGTGCCACAGAACTCAGACATGGCCTTCTCGAAAGATTCCAGCATCAGATTGTCCAGTTTGTAGGGGCGGGTGGTGAGCAAATTGTGTAGCTCATTGTACGTCATGTCGGCCTCTTGCACAAGCTTGAACATTAGCATGCAGAACATGCGACGCCTTTGCGGACGCATCGTTATCCCCGTGTCCATGGAGCTCTTTTTTTCCTATGAGTTTTCATTTTTTTGTTTTTGCTACTCATACTAGCTTGGAGCTGTGGTCGCATCCACTTACCTTCACATACTGTTTTAGCAGTATCAAAACGGCGACTTTGTGTGGTGTTGGGGTCTCGATGCGCGGGGGCACCAGCTTAGAGCTGGGATCTAATGTATCCAGCTCCTCAAACAAATTCATAGCTTATTTTGCCGGCACATAAGACAATACACAGCCGCAGCCAACCTCACGTATTGCAGAAAAATTTGTAACTGCCAACTTGTTTTTAGTAACACGTAGAATAAACAAAAATATATGAAACTTTGAAGAATATATACTAATACTGTAATTGATTAGTTCAAAGTCTATCTATATCTACACAATCCGCATCATGCATCCAGCTCCTCAAACAAATTCACGGCAGGCACACCACAAAAAATATACAGCGGCAGCCAACTTCACGTTTTGCAACAAAACATGGAGCTGCCAGTTAGTTGTAGTAACATATGGCAACTCTTATTGGCGGGCATTTGAAAATATTGAATAAAAAACATCCGAAAATTGATGAATATATAAAAACTTTGAAGTCGGTTGATACTAACGACGTAATTCTTTGTTCACAGTGTAAATGCTCCTAAAAATAAACAGGAAAAACCAAGGGGTTTACCCTTCTAACTTTGTGCACAGCGTATAACACCCATTCCGTAATTGATGGGGTCAAAGTCTAGAAGATATCTACACAAGTCAAAGTCAAAGCGTGTTTGCCTAAAAAGTATTTGTTTTTGTTGAGCGAATATGCATAGTTCTTCTACCCATTTATATTTAGCGAAGCTAATTAATTCTAATTTATGAATTGGAATAAGTACAGCGTTTTCGCTGTAGCTGCAAATGCAGTTTGTTCATGAATCCGTTTACAGGACAAATGGGAAAATGGCACGGCGTGCCCTTGGATAGTCCTTGAACTCCTTCTTGTAGTTACGGTGCTTGGCAAGAGCCCAAACAGTCATCTGGAATGCACCAGCAAAGGCAAACAAATAGGCGGGCAAGCAGGAGGTCATAACCGAAAAGCAGACCCATGCGCCAATCTCATATGTGTAATTGGGACAAGACACCAGGCTATAAATGGAAATCGATTAATGATATAAAAACTTCAGCAATAAGAAGAAAACACGCACTTGAAGAGCTTCGTCAGTGGGTTGCTGTCGGCCACGGGAATCTTGCGCACCTTGGTGCCGGGCGGACGCAGATTGCGCAGAGCAATGTGTATCGAAAAGTTGCCCAATTCGCAGAGCTATAAAGTAACAATTTAGAAGAATTTAGAAAGAAGCAATTAAAACTTTGAAAGTAAACTCACGGCAAAGGCTGCCAGCGCAGCCCACACAGTGCACATGCACGGCGAAGTGTAGAGCGGATGATTGACGTGGTACGACACATACGCCGTAAAGCCCCAATAGTAGCTGCAATTCTTGAAGAGATTACGCAGCGGCATCGTATTGTGCGAGAAACGATGCACAAAGATCGTCTCCAACAAACGCTTCACATAGTGAACCGTATAGCATCCGGCGGCAATGCTGCGGAATAATGACAAAATTTAACATATAGGAATTATTATTATTATTTGATATAGTATTTCGATCTTAAGATTTGCCCCAAGCGTGTAATAAAACTGAAAAACACAGAAATTCATTTTAAAAACTCGACTTATGATCTACATAACATTCAGCTACTGTTCAAAGCTAAATTAGCTTTTTTTAGAGGTCCTTAGCGGGAAACTATGAAATTTATAACCGATTTAGCTATTTTCTTCACATCTTACGACTGCAATATACCCGTTTTGTCCTACTTTGTGTACAGGGTATACAAAAATTGTTGAAAGCGTTAAGTCTAATCATTATGCAGCCAGCAGGTAAAAGCGAGTCAAACGCTGATCAGCAATAATTTGCATAAGCATTCGCTGGGTCAGCGGGTCGCTGCGGCTGTCTCTGTGTGCGTAATGAACGATATGCGTGAGTCTGGCGAAAGTCGCACACATATACAACACACACGCCTACATACACACACACACACACACAGAAACAGTAAAATCTTGCGTACTTACTGAGTGGTCAGCGAAATGGGATTGCCGGCTGCCTTGCCATAAACGAGCTCCGGGCGGAAATAGAAAATCAGGTAGACTATCAAAGGACCGGCATACTCGGCCAGGAAGACAGTCTTCCAGCCAATTTGCGGTCCCAGATCCTTAACGTAGACCTTGTCCCCATTGCCCAGGTTCAACGAAGCCACTGAATCCGTGTCCTTCAAGCTCCTTCCGCGCGGCTCCAGGCGTCTGAGATAAAAACAATTTCAGAGTTTGGACATACGTAACTGTGTGTGTGTGTGTGTTGGTATACTTACAGCGAAATGCGGTCCGCATGCGGCGCTTGCTTCAATGTCTTGTGAATAAGTACCCGCAGCTCGCTAATGGAAACTGCGGTGGAGGACACATTCACCAAGCCGTAGGACTTAGTTGTTTTAGCACTGAGTACTTCAAGCTCCACCATTTTTCGTGACTGTCGCTATTTGCCGTCCGGTTAGTCTTTATTTAGTGATGTATTTTATGCACAGCGAGAGGTAAGCATTCACAGAGAGATTTCGTATGTTATTGTTAGTTATTTAACTCAAAATGGCACTGTTAATGTACAAATGTAAATATGTGACGTCACAATATTTGTATGTCCAGCTACTATTGCTTATCGTGTCATATTTGTTATCGTTATAAAATTTAAAATTTTTAGTTGGCCAGTCGACTCAGCACGTAAAGCAGGTCTTGTCTTGAATTTGTTAAAAAAAAAAAACATTTTATTTTAATTGTGTGGTGAGTGTGCGTCTAGATTTATAAAATATATAAAAAACAAGTAGTAAGCCATGAAAATGTAAATTGTTCAAAGATATTTGTCAAAGAAATCCTATTTCAACTCGCTCATTTTGCGTTTGAATTCCAAAGTGAACACTTGAAACTAAAGGAAATCGTGTAAATCCAGCAGAAAATCAATTAATATCTAATTATAAAAACGCATCTTTAAGCAAAAGTATTGGAAGTAGAGGGTGAGTAAAACAAACTCGGGTTCATTTAAAAACGATTTGCAGTCGCGGTAAATTCAACGCTCTGGCAACTTTATAACTTACCGACTGATAGCCTTGGACGAGTAGCTCGAGCGAGATAACTATATACGACGCTCGACAGCTGCAAATACGCATTACGACACGAAAAATACAAAATTTAGATTTTTCTCTAGATCTGCTTTCATTACGGAAGAACTTTTATATGAAAACATTAATTATAACAGTGTACAAAAACATTTTGCCTTAAAACAAGCATGTTATAATAAGTGGAAAATTCATAACATTTATGTGAGAGCAGGATGGCGCCATAGCACTTAACAATTTACCACAAAATTTCCCACAATACCCCTGCAGTTGACAAAGGCTATAAAAAGCCAAGCACAAACCAATTTCGTCAAAGTAATCGAAAAGTGAAGCAAGCGGATTGACAACGTAGTAGCAAATAAACGGAACAATTTTATAAGTTATTTAGGTGTGATAATTGCAAAAAAAAAAGTTACAGCCAGTGTTTCGAAAAGTGAGTTTTAGAATATAAAGCGTTATTAATATGTTAAATTGGTGAAATACTTATTTGGGGTTAAAAAAAATGATTTGTGTCGCCATTTTTTTTTTTCTTTGTTACGTACTCATTTTACTATTCACTAATTAATTTATTGGAAAAATCAATACGCAGCATCTAATTTTGCTGTTAACTAATGCGTTTTTCACATATGAACTTTGTATTTAGCAATTTTGGTATTTGTTGTGAAATTAGTTTGTGACGTCATAGAACTTTCCAGAAGGCGATTATATATATATTTATACATATATATGGAAATGTATGCACATGAATATATATGTGCATATATAATTATTATATTATATATATTGGTATATATATAGATATGTATATATTTCAAAGGCATGTTTCTATGTATGCACCTATTTTATGCATACATATATACACAAGAAAAGTAATGCGTCGTCAGCCCAGACACATATATGTATATGTCTGGGAAAAATTAAACATGACGTAGTGCAATGGCCGTCTGTGAAGCGACTTCGTGCACACGTATATATATATATTTTATAATATATATGTATGCAGATTAATTGCAAAATTACGTTTCTATTAATGCAACTTTTTAATACGTATATACACAAATAAAAAATGCGTCGCAGGCCCAGACATGTATGTATGTGTCTGGGGAAATTTAAACAATGATGAAGTGCAATGGCCGTCCATAAAGGGTCTTTGTTTCATAATTGACAAGGGAGGAAATGGTCCAATATGAAAAAGTGTGTACACATATTGTACATATATGTACATACATGCAGTCAGAACAAAGCAATCGTGTAGAAGCACTCATTTTTCGATACTCTTTTTTAAGTCATCGTGAAAGTCATACCATTTTAGTTTGCGTCGAGGTCTGTTCAGTTGAAATTCAATTTTATTTTCTGATTTTCTCTATTTTATTTTGCAGAATTATCAAAATGCAGATCTTCGTAAAAACTTTGACGGGAAAGACCATCACCCTGGAGGTGGAGCCTTCCGATACGATCGAGAACGTGAAGGCCAAGATCCAAGACAAGGAGGGAATCCCTCCAGACCAGCAGCGTCTGATCTTCGCCGGCAAGCAACTGGAAGATGGTCGCACTCTCTCTGACTACAACATCCAGAAGGAGTCGACCCTCCACTTGGTCCTCCGTCTGCGTGGTGGTATGCAGATCTTCGTGAAGACCCTGACGGGAAAGACCATTACTCTGGAGGTGGAGCCTAGTGATACCATTGAGAACGTGAAGGCCAAGATTCAGGACAAGGAGGGCATTCCTCCAGACCAGCAGCGTCTGATCTTTGCCGGCAAGCAACTGGAAGATGGACGCACGTTGTCAGATTACAACATCCAGAAGGAATCGACCCTCCACTTGGTCCTTCGTCTGCGTGGTGGTATGCAGATCTTCGTGAAGACCCTGACGGGAAAGACCATTACTCTGGAGGTGGAGCCTTCCGATACGATCGAGAACGTCAAGGCCAAGATCCAAGACAAGGAGGGAATCCCTCCAGACCAGCAGCGTCTGATCTTCGCCGGCAAGCAACTGGAAGATGGTCGCACTCTCTCTGACTACAATATCCAGAAGGAGTCGACCCTCCACTTGGTCCTCCGTCTGCGTGGTGGTATGCAGATCTTCGTGAAGACCCTGACGGGAAAGACCATTACTCTGGAGGTGGAGCCTAGTGATACCATTGAGAACGTGAAGGCCAAGATTCAGGACAAGGAGGGCATTCCTCCAGACCAGCAGCGTCTGATCTTTGCCGGCAAGCAACTGGAAGATGGACGCACGTTGTCAGATTACAACATCCAGAAGGAATCGACCCTCCACTTGGTGCTTCGTCTGCGTGGTGGTATGCAGATCTTCGTGAAGACCCTGACGGGAAAGACCATTACTCTGGAGGTGGAGCCTTCCGATACGATCGAGAACGTCAAGGCCAAGATCCAAGACAAGGAGGGAATCCCTCCAGACCAGCAGCGTCTGATCTTCGCCGGCAAGCAACTGGAAGATGGTCGCACTCTCTCTGACTACAATATCCAGAAGGAGTCGACCCTCCACTTGGTCCTCCGTCTGCGTGGTGGTATGCAGATCTTCGTGAAGACCCTGACGGGAAAGACCATTACTCTGGAGGTGGAGCCTAGTGATACCATTGAGAACGTGAAGGCCAAGATTCAGGACAAGGAGGGCATTCCTCCAGACCAGCAGCGTCTGATCTTTGCCGGCAAGCAACTGGAAGATGGACGCACGTTGTCAGATTACAACATCCAGAAGGAATCGACCCTCCACTTGGTGCTTCGTCTGCGTGGTGGTATGCAGATCTTCGTGAAGACCCTGACGGGAAAGACCATTACTCTGGAGGTGGAGCCTTCCGATACGATCGAGAACGTCAAGGCCAAGATCCAAGACAAGGAGGGAATCCCTCCAGACCAGCAGCGTCTGATCTTCGCCGGCAAGCAACTGGAAGATGGTCGCACTCTCTCTGACTACAATATCCAGAAAGAATCAACCCTCCACTTGGTCCTTCGTCTGCGTGGTGGTATGCAGATCTTCGTGAAGACCCTGACGGGAAAGACCATTACTCTGGAGGTGGAGCCTTCCGATACGATCGAGAACGTCAAGGCCAAGATCCAAGACAAGGAGGGAATCCCTCCAGACCAGCAGCGTCTGATCTTCGCCGGCAAGCAACTGGAAGATGGTCGCACTCTCTCTGACTACAATATCCAGAAAGAATCGACCCTCCACTTGGTCCTTCGTCTGCGTGGTGGTATGCAGATCTTCGTAAAGACCCTGACGGGAAAGACCATTACTCTGGAGGTGGAGCCTTCCGATACGATCGAGAACGTCAAGGCCAAGATCCAAGACAAGGAGGGAATCCCTCCAGACCAGCAGCGTCTGATCTTTGCTGGTAAGCAGCTGGAAGATGGACGCACGTTGTCGGATTACAATATCCAGAAGGAATCGACGCTTCACTTGGTCCTCCGTCTGCGTGGTGGTATGCAGATCTTCGTAAAGACCCTGACGGGAAAGACCATTACTCTGGAGGTGGAGCCTAGTGATACAATTGAGAACGTGAAGGCCAAGATTCAAGACAAGGAGGGAATCCCTCCAGACCAGCAGCGTCTGATCTTCGCCGGTAAGCAGTTGGAAGATGGACGCACGTTGTCGGATTACAATATCCAGAAGGAATCGACTCTTCACTTGGTCCTCCGTCTTCGTGGAGGTATGCAGATCTTCGTGAAGACCCTGACGGGAAAGACCATTACCCTCGAGGTGGAGCCCAGTGATACCATTGAGAATGTGAAGGCCAAGATTCAGGACAAGGAGGGCATCCCTCCAGACCAGCAGCGTCTGATCTTCGCCGGCAAGCAGCTGGAAGATGGTCGCACCTTGTCGGATTACAATATACAGAAGGAGTCGACCCTCCACTTGGTGCTCCGTCTGCGTGGCGGCGGCGCAGCTTAGTTTAAGTAGAAAAGCAAATACAAATCAAATGGGCATTATTAATTATCGAACACTGAAAATCAAGCTACAGAGTTGCCAAATTTTTTAATTTCTGCAAAATAACACTGGACCTAAAGTAAAAATTCCAAATTTACAAGTTCAAGCATTGAGCCGATTTTACTGTGACTGCTGTTTCTTCTGGCTTAAAATTGTCTTGCTTCAAATTCCATATACAATTATAATAAATTAATTATTCAAAGAGAAATGTTTTGTTGTGGTAGGTGATGGGGTCATATCTAAAATGGGGATATAGTGAACATTACTGTTAAATGCTATATGGTATCAAAATAGAAAACGGGCGTTGCCATATAGGAAAACCAATGCAGATATTAAAAACTATTTTGAACTTTTTATTGTGAATGCTGCCAGATTTGAGAATGTCGTTCGAGCGATCCTGTGTGAATGGCTTCTGGCTTATTAGATATGTAAACGTTGCGTGGTGACTGTCAAAAGGGGCAAAACTGAATCAAAAAGTGAATGCTGCCCGTTTATTTTGGACAAGTTAAAGCAGCTGAACTTGCAAACAAAATGGCAAAGGTGCTGCAACGTGTGGAAACCACGCTGCGTAGCTTCTATGTATTTAATTCTAGCTTGGGCCAGAAGGAGGGCGAGGTGAGTTATGGTCATATTCCTTTGTAAGCTACGCCTACAAATTGTTGGTAATCAACAGGAGCACAAGAAAATTCTATTTTATCATCCGAATGACATTGAGCTCAACACAAAAATCAAAGATGTGGGTCTTAGCGAAGCCATCATAACCTTTACCGGGTGAGTCAGCGCCTGCTGCTGCCGCGTCCAATAAATAAAAGAGTTTTTTGTGATCCCAGCACGTTCACCAGCGAGGATGATTGCAAGGCTCTGCACACGCAGAAGACAACCCAGCTGTTCTATCAGCCGGAGCCAGGCTTTTGGCTGGTGCTGGTGCTCAATGTGCCCAAGGAGCTGAAGCTAAAGGACGGCGTCGAGGTGGCCGATTATCGCGGCGGCGATGTCTGCGATCGCATATACCATGCCGTGCTCCGTCAATGGTATCATATGTACCGCTTCCATCATGGCCCGCTGCAGGCCAAGTTGACGCAAGGGAAGGCGGCGGAGGAAGAGCGCCAAAAGTTGGCGGCCGAGCTGCATCAGTTCTATGAAAGCTATTTGGCCAATATCAAGGATTTGGCGCAATGCGACATTGTGGACATGCTGCACTCGGTCCAGTATCTGGCGCTGGACAAGGCGCTCTTTTTGCGCGCCCACAACTTTAGCATGCTGTGCGACACCTTTCCCGCCGTCAAGGAGTGCGTCATGCTCTACAACGAGCAAGTCGTCTGCGGCGGTAAGCTGATTGCCAGCGATTTGTACAGCCTGCATGTGCACATTCTGTCGGCAACGACGGCAGCTGCCAACGCAGAGACCTATCGTTCGGGCGCCTTTGTACGAGATGAAAACGAAGAGCAGGCGGCGCCGCCCAGTAGAGTATTTTTGGATTGGGAGGCGCAAATCAAGCCGTACTACTTGCTCATCTATCGGGCGTTGAATGTCACGCTCTGCTTGTTCCTCGATGGTAAGCGAGGTTTATTTTTCAATCCCAACCTAAGGTTAACTCCTGATTTTCCCAGCAGCCCGGCAAGTTGCACCGGCCCCCGAATTCTATGAGGAGCTACACACGTACATGGGTCCACAGCTCAGCTGCCTGGCACGCGACATTGCCGCCGAGGTCTCCAAGCTGAGCGTAGGCTCCGCAGCCCAGGAGAGCACCTCTAATGACAGCTCGCCCAAATATCTGTTTATCAACGAGCAAAGCCTGCAGCATCACACGAATATCTATCGTAGTGCGAAGACGCCGCAGAAAAGCATTCCGCGTAACGTGATGAGCATCATTGCCGATTTGGCCAATCCCATTGAGCAAGGTGCCGCAGCCACCGAAGAGCTGCAGGTGAAGACAACCAACGATTTTTGGGTTGTGAAGCGCCGCTGCAATTGGCGACAATATTATGTGATACTTGGGAAGAGCAAGGCGACGCTATTGGATGTGACGCAGGAGGCGAAGCGTATATTTGAACAGGAGCTCACAGATGATGTATTTTTTGACAAATAAACAATAGAATTAGATAAATAAAGGGCGTTTTCCAATTGTATTTGCTGTTGTTTGTGTTTCTCGCTTCCGGCTGCCGCCAGCAGAAACCACAGCAAGCGCTGATCTGCGTCCGATGTTGTTTTCAAGCCAGCACCGTGGTGCTACTCGTGCTAGATGGATTCAGTTCAGTGTTGGCATCGTTGTACACGCTCGTCGAGGATGAGGAGGTCGTGACCCCATTGTGGCCCTTGCTAAGCTTCACAATATAAATGTGCCGATTGGACATGCAAATGCTGTAGCTGTGGTGCTCATAATCGATGCTGATGCGCTCGCAGCTGCTGTTGGGCATAAAATTGTCATCGATGCTGCAGGCGAAGGAAAAATAAACAAAATTCTTTATCTTTTACAATTTCAGTTCAACTTGCCTTTCGGTAAGATTTATTAGACCCATTATTACATTGGCGCTGCGCTCATCGTTCTTGAGATCACCCCCTGATTCTTGTAGTGAGCCATCGTCTTTGAGTATCAAGTAGCCAATTTGATTGGACATAATCTGCTTATCCTTGTCCATATTTCAAACCCTCTTAAATGCACTTATAGCTGCAGCAAAAATGTTTTTCCTTATTGTTTTTGTTTAACAGCTGCATTTAATGCCATTCACATTTGTACGATATATACACTATGCGATATATACAGCGTTGCTTATCGATATCTATTAACACTGCCAGTCCTATCGAATCATATCACACCTCTAGCATACTACATTCTGTAAAGTGCTCGCGTGCAGTTCGTGTGAAATTTAAAGCGCTGCATGAAAAATTAAGTAAAAGAGTTGAAAATCAAAAGTTAAACCAACAAATTTGTTGTAAAGCGATTGAGCGAGATCTAAAGTGTAAGTTACATATTGTTTTCATTTACAATTGTAGACCACAAAGCTTTAAATTACATTGAAAATCAGCAAGCGTTTATGTGTGTGTGGTACAGTGAAAATTTTTCGGGTCAACGCCACACCCTCGTTTTCAAAAGGCGAAAATCTAATTATGCTTTAGAAATTGGCAAAATGTCACAAAGTGATTTGCTTACTAAATTACATTTTGGAAAGTGTGTAAAGAGTGCAAAATTCTATTTCCATGTTGTATGTGAACCATTTTTATAAATACGTACATATGTATGTGTGTGTTGTGTATACGTCATCGGGTTGTGCCGCAACTTTAATTTGAGAGAAAGCGGGAGAGAGAGATATAGAACACAGGCTCGGATACAAACCAATGAGATGCATTTTGGTATTTACAGGAAAAATAGCAACAGAAATAATATATTTGCCATTAATAGAAATTTCGCGAAACCTGTTTGCAGAAAAAAAATGTCCTTGACTTTGTCGGCGGGTTGTTTATTTAGGATAACGTTGCCCAATTTTGTGCGCATATTGCCGGAAATCCAAAAAAAAACTGTTTTGCATTTTGTAAATTTTTAATTTTATGTCCATAAAAAATATAGCTCTTTTAAACGCTAATGCTTAATACTTATTGCTCATAGTTCCAAGTTGTGCGCATTACGTCATCCAGCTATTTCTGATACACTTCAATTAATGTATGTTGCCGCTTTGCTGTGTATCGCTCATGTGTGAGGTCTGTGCCAGCGGCTCTGTGAATGTATTCAAAAAGAGAGCGCGCTCGCTCGCTCTCTCATTTCAAACAAATTGTACTCCATGGCAGGGAGTCCATGTATGCCCCCTCCCTCTCTCTCTCTCTTTGCTGCTGTTTCTTTTTGTATGTTGTTTTTGTTTGTAAAGCACGCCATAAACAGTTAAATTGCCTTCGATTCGTTTATGTATGTTTATATATGTGCATGTGTGTGCGTATGTGGCTGGGCGACATTTTGACTTTTGTATGGCTGCTTTGAATACGAACCCCGAATCCGGGCCTAGGCTATATTATTTTTCAATTTCCTGCCGTGTTAGGGCGATGCCGTTAAAAACTCGCGTGACCAAATTATATTTAGAAATTTGTATACATGCTCGTTTATATTTCTTCACCGAACCACCCTGCTTTGTAAGACTTCTTCTTTTGGTGATGATGTCATTTAAGTAAAGCAATTGAAGACACTACTTGCAACTACTTTACTTTGCTCTTTGACCTCCTGTTTCATTTCTCTTAATGTAATAAATATCGCGTGTTTTCTATTAGAAAATTGATTGCAGTCTTCGTGTAGGTATCTATGCATTTCTAAAGCTTTGTAGCACAATGTATCTTAAATCATTGCCTTAAAGATACTTTTAGTTACATAAATTAACAATAGATTTTTAAGTGTTGAGTAATATAATATCAATCGTGTGATGTGCTTCTAGTATATTGCATGTTAAACGAAATAATATTGGTAACTAAAACAAAAACAAAACAAATTGACTAACATACCGTATATATAATAATTTTCCTTCGTAAACTCTATCTAAATTCGGCACAAATCTGAAGTTAGTTAGATCCTTATACGTTTGAGCGTGTGTGTGATAAAAGAAATGAAACCTTAAATAAAAATAAAAATCGCAACCAAGCAAAAAGAAAAAAGTGGCAACCTCCCAAGAAAATAAATAAAATGAAATAAATGAAAGCAAGCAAAAGACAAAGAGCGTACAAGCAATATTTCTCTTCTCTCATCTTCCGTTGCAGGAACGGGGCCTGAGGGAGAGAGAAAATGTTGTGAGAACGAGAGCTTAAACGTAATATAAACAAAAACACACGCAACAAATGTAAATAAATCAAACAGCAAATGGAACTAAAACTGGAACCGGAGCAGTTGCATAAAAAAAAGAACTTGTCGACTTGGCTTTGAGAGATCGATAGCTTAAACCTAATATAACATAAACAGAAAATGGAGCACGCAAAGCAACTGGAACTGGAACTGGAACAGGAGCAGCAGCTGGAGCAGTTGCTTAAAAAACTGGAACTTGTGGATTTTTATCAGCTACCCGAAACGTTCCAGGCACACTTCGAGGGAAAGCAGAGCAACCTATGCTGTCTGGAAGATTTCGCCATTTACTTTTTGGCTGCACTGCGTCAACACACGGAGCTGCATTTTCGCGGTAACAACGAATCGGAAACGCCCAAACAACACACGCCCGTGCACCAGGCAAAACCCACGCCCATTGATCAGGAACTGAATGAATCTCCGCTCAGTCAGCTGAGTACGTGCAATGTGTCCACGCCCGTGCGACAGGTAACTCCGCTGCAGCAGCAAGGTCGTCGCTCCACGGGCGGCACGCCGCAAAGCAGCGAACGATCGACCAATCGAAGTGGAGGAGGAGGCTCGAGCAGCTTTTGTCTAGCGGATTTTATGACCAATACGACGCCCAATCAGAGCCAGCAGCGAGCGAAGAAAAAGGCAACGCCGCTGGACAAATCGCAGAGGCCGCGCCGCCGCGTGCTGCCTATGACCATCAGTAGGAACGTGTCCGCGAGCAGCTCCTTTGGCGACACCAGCTCCTTCAGCAACGAGAACAATCTGTTGCGTCTTTCGCAGAGCTGTGAGCTTGATCGCAGCCAAGGCGCCGAGCTGGAGCAGGAGGCGCGCAAGATGCTGCTGCTGCGCCGACAGGAGATCAAAAGCGAAGCGCCCGTGGAACAGGAGCGGGAACAACGGGAAAGGGATGTTCAGCCGAAAGTAATGTCAATTAGTTTGGAGCATGTGCGTCATGCCAAGCAGCTGCATCTGTTGGCGGCGATCTACGCGCTGCTGATGGATCTCAACCTGGTGCCAAATGTGCTGACCGAGATCAGCTACGCGCTGCAATTGCTTAACGTATGCGATGTGGCCGGTGACAGCTCAAAATTGGAGCCACCGCTTGCTCTGCTAGCTGGCCACAAGGAGTGCATCTATTTTGCGGCCAAACTGCTGGAGCAGCAGAAGGATGTGCTGCTGCAGCTGGATCGCAGCTCGCTGGCCGTGCTGCTGCAGCACGATCGCCTATCGCTTCTGTCCAAGCAGCTGCAGGAGCAACTGGAGCAGCAGCAGAGCCAGCGGGCACGGATCCAGCTACCGGCGGAAACGCCGAGCAAGGCGCAGCAGAATGTGCACTATCAGCACGAGAAAGATGCGCGCGATAAGTTTCCCAGCCAGCAGGAGTTTGGGGCATTCAAGAGCCAGCGCGATCTCTTTTACAAGTCGCTCAAGCAATGGGAGCAACTGCATCTGAATCGTCTGTTCAGCTTTGGCCGAGAGCTGGGCCCGCTTGTGCGTGACATCTTCAAGCAGTCGGAGCATGTGGTGAATATGGCGCACTTTGCTGGGCTGTTTGTCAGCCAGCTGCTCATGTCCAGCCGGGAGAAGCACGAGTCGCCCGAGGAGCTGGGCCTCAAGCTTGATCAGCAGCGACTCAACAGGTTGGCGCAGCGTCTGGTCACCAGCAATTCCAGTGTTGAGGATCAGTTCCCGCGCACGCAGGGCTTCTTTCGTGATTTTATTGGTGAATGCAGTTCCTTGGCGTTTCTGGTGCAGCTGCAGCTGGCACTTTACGTGCAGCTATTGCGCCACAATGACTCTAGCTTCGAGCTGCTCTCGCTACAACCGGACGGTGAAGAGGAGGAGGAGCAGGTGGCCTCCCCATATATTGTGCGCCCGCAGGCTCAAGCCGAGCTGCTTATCTTAGCCAAGTTCTTGGGTTATGTGTGCGCCTTTCCCTACAATCGTTCGCCCAACGCAGCCAACAGCTGCCCGCAGGAGCAGCTCCAGCTGCGCCGCCAGTTCCAGCCTCCGTTTGAAATGCGCCTGCATTTGGAACGTGCTATGCGCCAGGGAAAGCTGCTGATCACGCTCCCGTGGCTGGTGCAGTATCTGGTCATGTTGGACCCAGTCACGCTGCAGCTGCCCGCTGCCCTGGACACTTTAGAGCTGCTCTATGCCCTGTATGCGGGCATAGCCAAAACCCATATCCCGTTGCAGCCCCGCGCGGTTTTCATCGCGCGCAGCTGTCTCGGCTGGCTGCTGGAATCGCAGCCGGCTCTAAGCACGGGCTACTATAGCCACAGAAGGAGGATGAGCACGAAACCGGATGCAGCCACGGCAGCTCTTGTAGCCGATTGCCTGCGCAGTCTTTGCTTCTCGGACGGGGGAAAGGTGGGCTCGCTGCTGGAGCAGATGTTGCCGCTTGCGTGTCCCTTCCTGCACGAGTTCCGTGTGGCCATCGCTCCCTCCCAGCGCCACGTCCAGCGCAATGGACGCTATCGCTACATAACCACACGCCTGGAACAGCTGGGCGGCGGCGGAGGCAAAAATGATAGTACACCGGACAATGAATCTCAGTTTGTGCCGGCTTCAGATCAGCGCAAGCTGGTGGACGCCTTTTTGCACTCTCAGAACGCCTCGATGCGGCGTCTGCTGGAATTCGTGACAGAGCGCAGCTTCAAGTGCGTGGTTAAGGATGCACAGCAAACAATACTCCTGCCCTCTAAGTCAGCGGCAGATGCGCAGGTCAATGGGATTGAGTCGACGCAGCAGCACGAGGTGCTGCGCGAGCTGCAGCGCATCTATCAGCAGGCCCGAAACCAGGCGTATCAGCAGTGGACGGAGCGGGTGCCCGGAATGTTGGAGCAGCGCATTGAGCAGTCGCTGCGGGCGCTGTTGCCCGCCAATACGAATGACGTTGTGCGTCACACGTATGCGCATTTGATCCGGCAGCAGGCGCAAATGCAGCTACAGCAATGGCTGGAAATCAGCGTGCTGCAGTCCAGCTTCTATCACGGCGACCTCCAGGAGCTAGCCACCAAGGTGTGTCGCGCAAACAGCCGGAGCGGCGTCCAGTCTAGCGCCAACTCGAACGATCTGTGCCTGACAGCGGCGGGCGAGCTCAGCTTGTCGCAGATTCTACACGAGCTGCAGCAGTGGGTGCACTGCCTCAGCATGCGACCCGAATTTCTGCCCAATTTGGGCGATCTGCTGCCGCTGCTCAAACGCACGCGGCAGGCGGCGCTGCTGCCGCATCTGCCCAGCCATTTCTATCAGTTGCTCGGCTCCATTCTGGTGCGTCTGCTGCAGTTGCTCATGTGCCAGCAGCCGCAGATGCTGACGCAGCCGGTTATCAGCATTAGCTGTGAGGTGTGGCTGGCGCCAAAGGTGCGTTCAGGTGGTGATGACGAGGACGTCCCTCATCCCATCTATTTGGAGGCATTGCTCAGCGTCAGCTTTTTTCAGGATCTTAGTGCAAATCCTGCGCGATTTCAGCTGCTCCATCAGCTGCTACACCATATGCTAGAAGCACACGTGCTCGACGTAGAACAGCTTAATCAGTTTTTCGTGGCACTCTTCAAGGAGAACTGGACACAGCCGGTGTGGAGCGCACTCTCCCAGCTGCTGCATCAGTTGTCCCAAGGTTGTTCCAACAAGGTCAACGACGACGACGGCAAGTCCCAATTGTTTATGGAAATGCTGGCGGATTTATCCAGCGATCTAGATAGTTTTTAAGCTCAAGAGTTAGTTACATATATCATTCTCATTTATCATACAATGTTTGTCGCTGTTAATAAATACTCTATTTTTTGCAAAAGAATGTCAACCTTCTCTTCGATAAGATAACAGCGCTGCCTATCGATAATTAAAATTTCCGATTACGTCACACTATCAGCGAAACTTGACGAATTTGTCGTTGTATTTGGTTGGCTTGTGAAATACAAAATGATTTTGATATGTGTATGTATGTATATATGTATGTAAGGCGGGCGATGCAGTCATTGGGCAAACAGTAGAACGAATAAGTGTAGAAACTGAAGAAAAAAAATTTTTAATTTTGTCTATTGATTTTAAGGTGCCAAAAGTTAAAGAATGTTATAACTAGCTTAGTTAGCAACACTGGCTCCAGACAAACTAAGCTGGAAAAAAGCTGAATTGGCAACAATGGCTATATACTAAGCAGGAAAATAGCTAATTGCAACACTGACTCTGCCGCAATTGAAATCGATTGACTACAGCCTTTGTGCGGCATATTGACTTGCTTGCAGTATATAGAAATCTATATACGTAGATATATCCATTAGTATCCATAAGCACACGACGAATATTCTCTTTTTGCACAATTTGAAGTTCCAAAGTCTTGTAACTTTTCAACCACTGTGCGGTACACAAAGCGCGTAATGTGTCGCTTGTGTGTATGCAGCAAAGCTGATTGTATGTATGTGTGTGTGTGTCATTGTGCTAAATTTGTAAAACGCGAGCGGAGGTTATGCAATCGACAAAAGCTGTGTCTCTGGTTAAAACTAATTGAATCTAATTGTTGCTCACTCTCTCGTTGATTCATTAATTCTCATTCTCTTGCAGTTGAGCACGGGCAGACTTTGGCATTTGAATTTGATGAGCAGCCGGGAGCAGTATTAGATTAAATTGAAACTTTACAAAGTCAAAACCAAAAACGAACGAAGAATTTAACGAACAGTACCCAATATGGAGAACTTTACACCGAAAGAGGTGAAAATCCTCGAGACCGTTGAGGACATTCAGGAGCGTCGTGAGCAGGTGCTTTCGCGCTATAATGAATTCAAGATTGAGACCCGGCAAAAGCGCGAGAAGCTCGAGGATTCGCGTCGGTTTCAGTACTTTAAGCGCGACGCCGATGAGCTGGAGTCGTGGATACACGAGAAACTGCAAGCGGCCAGCGAGGAGAGCTACCGCGATCCGACCAATCTGCAGGCCAAGATCCAGAAGCATCAGGCCTTCGAGGCGGAGGTCTCGGCGCATAGCAATGCAATTGTGTCGCTGGATAATACCGGCCAGGAGATGATCAATCAGCAGCACTTCGCATCGGAGACCATACAGCGGCGCCTGGACGAGCTGCATCAGTTGTGGGAGCTGCTGCTGAGCCGTTTGGCCGAGAAGGGCCTAAAGCTGCAGCAGGCGCTGGTTCTGGTCCAGTTTTTGCGTCAGTGCGAAGAGGTCATGTTTTGGATCAAGGACAAGGAGACCTTTGTGACGGCCGATGAGTTCGGTCAGGATCTGGAGCATGTCGAAGTGCTACAGCGCAAGTTTGATGAATTCCAGAAGGACATGGCCTCGCAGGAGTATCGCGTCACCGAAGTTAACCAGTTGGCCGACAAACTAATACAGGACGGTCATCCCGAGCGGGACACCATAACCAAGCGCAAGGAGGAGCTCAACGAGGCCTGGCAGCGGCTCAAGCAATTGGCCATTGTGCGGCAGGAGAAACTCTTCGGCGCCCACGAGATTCAGCGCTTTAATCGCGATGCCGACGAGACAGTCGCCTGGATAGCCGAAAAGGATGTTGTGCTCTCCTCCGACGACTATGGTCGTGACCTTGCCAGCGTGCAGGCTCTGCAGCGTAAGCACGAGGGCGTCGAACGCGACCTGGCCGCCTTGGAGGACAAAGTGTCCACACTGGGCGCCGAGGCGCAACGCCTGTGCTCCATCCATGCCGATCACAGCGATCAGATACGCGACAAGCAGGCCGAGATCGCCAACTATTGGCAGAGTTTGACGGCCAAGGCGCATGAGCGCAAGCAGAAGCTGGACGAATCCTACTATCTGCATCGTTTCCTGGCCGACTTCCGTGATCTGGTGTCGTGGATCAATGGTATGAAGGCCATCATCTCGGCAGATGAGCTCGCCAAGGATGTAGCCGGCGCAGAGGCGCTGCTGGAGCGCCATCAGGAGCACAAGGGTGAGATCGATGCGCGCGAGGATAGCTTCAAGTTGACCACTGAATCCGGCAGGAAACTGTTGGAGCGCGAGCACTATGCCGCCGCCGAGATCCAGGAGAAGCTGGCTGCTCTGGAGAACGACAAGAGCTCGCTGCTGTCGCTGTGGGAGGATCGCCGCATCCTGTACGAGCAGTGCATGGATCTGCAGCTCTTTTATCGTGACACTGAACAGGCCGACACCTGGATGGCCAAACAGGAGGCCTTTCTCGCCAACGAGGATCTGGGCGATTCACTGGACTCCGTCGAGGCGCTGATCAAGAAGCACGAAGACTTCGAGAAGAGCCTGGCCGCACAGGAGGAGAAAATCAAGGCGCTGGACATCTTCGCCACCAAGCTAATCGATGGCCAGCACTATGCCGCTGACGATGTCGCGCAGAGACGACAGATGTTGCTCGCTCGACGCGCCGCCCTGCAGGAGAAGTCGGCCAAGCGGCGCCAGCTGCTGGAGGACTCGAATCGCTATCAGCAATTCGAGCGCGACTGCGACGAGACCAAGGGCTGGATCAGCGAGAAACTCAAGTTCGCCACCGACGACAGCTATCTGGATCCGACCAATCTGAATGGTAAAATGCAGAAGCATCAGAACTTCGAGCACGAGCTGAACGCCAACAAGTCGCGCATCGAGGACATCACCAACGTGGGCAGCGAGTTGATCGAGAAGAAGCACTATGCCGCCGACCAGATTAATACGCGCATGCAGGAGATTGTCGTGCTGTGGGAAACGCTGGTCCAGGCCTCCGACAAGAAGGGCTGCAAGCTGAACGAGGCCTGCCAGCAGCAACAGTTCAATCGGACTATTGAGGACATTGAGCTCTGGCTGAGCGAGATCGAGGGCCAGCTGCTGTCCGAGGATCACGGCAAGGATTTGACCTCTGTCCAGAATCTGCAGAAGAAGCATGCGCTGCTCGAGGCCGATGTAATGGCCCACCAGGATCGCATTGAGAACATCAATGTGGCGGCCAACAAGTTCATCGAATCGGGACACTTCGATGCCGACAACATTCGCAACAAGGAGGGCAATCTCTCGGCCCGTTATGCCGCTCTGGCAGCGCCCATGGGCGAACGCAAGCAGCATTTGTTGGACTCGCTGCAGGTGCAGCAGCTGTTCCGCGACCTCGAGGACGAGGCCGCCTGGATACGCGAGAAGGAACCGATTGCCGCATCGACGAATCGCGGCCGGGATCTGATTGGTGTCCAGAATCTGATTAAGAAACATCAGGCTGTGCTCGCGGAGATCAACAATCATGAGGCGCGCCTGCTGAATGTCATAAGCTCGGGCGAGAATATGCTCAAGGATCAGCCATTCGCCAGCGACGATATACGCCAGCGCCTCGAGGCACTGCAGGAGCAGTGGAACACGCTGCGCGAGAGGTCGAATCAGCGCAAACAGGATCTGGACGATTCGCTGCAGGCGCATCAATACTTTGCCGATGCCAACGAGGCGGAGTCGTGGATGCGCGAAAAGGAGCCGATTGCCACGGGCAGTGACTATGGCAAGGACGAGGACTCTTCGGAGGCGCTGTTGAAGAAGCATGAGGCACTCGTCTCCGATCTGGAAGCCTTCGGCAACACTATCCAGGCGTTGCAGGAGCAGGCCAAGAACTGTCGTCAGCAGGAAACGCCCGTCGTCGACATTACCGGCAAGGAGTGCGTCGTAGCGCTCTACGACTACACGGAGAAATCGCCGCGCGAGGTGTCCATGAAGAAGGGCGACGTCCTCACGCTGCTCAACTCAAACAACAAGGACTGGTGGAAGGTGGAGGTCAATGATCGGCAAGGCTTCGTACCGGCCGCCTACATCAAGAAGATCGAGGCTGGACTCAGTGCCTCACAGCAGAACCTCGTGGACAACCATTCGATTGCCAAGCGCCAGAATCAGATCAATTCTCAGTACGATAATCTCTTGGCCCTGGCCCGCGAGCGCCAGAACAAGCTGAACGAGACCGTGAAGGCGTATGTGCTGGTGCGTGAGGCAGCCGACTTGGCTCAATGGATACGCGACAAGGAAAACCATGCCCAGATTGCCGATGTCGTCGGCGAGGATCTCGAGGAGGTTGAGGTGCTGCAGAAGAAGTTCGACGACTTCAATGACGATCTCAAGGCCAACGAGGTGCGTCTAGCGAACATGAACGAAATTGCCGTTCAGCTGACATCGCTCGGCCAGACGGAGGCGGCCCTCAAGATCCAGACCCAGATGCAGGATCTCAACGAGAAGTGGAACAATCTGCAGACCTTGACCGCCGAGAAGGCCAGCCAGCTGGGCTCCGCGCACGAAGTGCAGCGTTTCCATCGCGACATTGACGAGACCAAGGACTGGATAGCCGAGAAGGCGAACGCTCTCAACAACGACGACCTGGGCAAAGATTTGCGCAGCGTTCAGACGCTGCAGCGCAAACATGAGGGCGTCGAGCGCGACCTGGCGGCCCTGCGCGACAAGATCCGCCAGCTGGACGAGACCGCCAATCGCCTGATGCAATCGCATCCGGACACCGCCGAACAGACCTATGCCAAGCAGAAGGAGATCAACGAGATGTGGGATCAGATCATTACCAAGTCGACGGCGCGCAAGGAAAAGCTGCTGGACTCGTACGACCTGCAGCGCTTCCTCAGCGACTATCGCGATCTGCTCGCTTGGATCAACTCCATGATGAGCCTGGTCACCTCTGACGAGCTGGCCAACGATGTGACTGGCGCCGAGGCGCTTATCGAACGTCATCAGGTAGGATTTTGATGGCCTTGATTACTTTTATAATTTCATTTGCCCATGTTTCAGGTTATTTGCTTTTCATGCCCTTGCAGGGGGTAGGGATAGAAAAAATATAAAGCTATGTCCGTCTATCTGCTTGTTTATTCATCCTTCATTTATTTTTGTTTACTAAGATTCAATCGAACAAGCTCAAAATCATTTATTTATGCACAAATTATGAGGCCTCGAGCATGTCAAACTTTGTCTGAATAATTGGCTACGGTGAATCGGTTAGTTCGATACTCAACTGGGGTTCGAATCTGTCGGTTTTCGTTTGAAACGATTGAGTATTCGAATTTGATTCAAACGAGCTTAGCAATGCACGTCTTCACTTCAAGTAAATCCTCCTTTTTGCCGCAGATGTGTATTGAAATGTATGCAAAATAAAACTTAGCTGTACATGCAAGGGTATTTAATCTTCGGCAGTCCGAAGATAACTAATTCTTTTGTGTTCTGAATGATAATGCCAATGGAACCGGATTATGTCAGAAGCAACTTATAAAGATTTAATTTCTGTTCCCCAAGATAAACCTTTCATTTAATTCTGATTTTTTGTGCGTTCTTTTGTTTTGTTTTCGGGGTATCCCCAACCCAAAAATCACGCCATAAAAAACAATTATTAAACCTCTCAACGTTTCCTGCTATCGACAACAATGGTTCATGGTTCATGACAACATATATACAATATACATCCCATGGTATTATTTCTCATCTGTAAACACACAGGCACATCGTGCTGAAATTGAGTTCACGCTGGGCAGCAGTTCCGCTCCGGCAGCAGGTGCATCACCATCCGGCGACGAGGTAGTTGTTCGTATACCGCATCCGTTGTTCATCACCAGCATCATCATCGTTATCCATGTTATCAATGTTATATTATTGTGCGTTGTGTTTTCTCACTGGTTTTTTGTCTTTTGAACTAGTTTGCGCCGCCTGAGTTTGTTCAGCTGCAGCTTCCACATGCTATCCAATTGCTTCTGGGTATTCACAATGGCAGCCTTGGAGATGCGCTTGAATATCTCTTCATTGTAAATACTCAGTTGGAGTTCGACAGCCATTAAATAACCCCATTCTGTACTTATACACGAATCTAATAGCACATGCGGCGGGCCTGTTCTAGCATTTTAGACTACGATTCGAAGTGGATTGGTATTTTTTTATTTCGCGTCCGATAATATTTGGTCGTTATTTTAAAATTGCTCGAACAAGCAAAAATATTAATGAAACCTCCTAATGTATCCGAATTTAGTTTTCAAACTGAATCGAAATCTTGAACAGGCTCGTTAATTCTTAAACAAAATTGATATTTATTTCTATTTGGAATACGTTCTATACATCTCTAGACTATATTTGCATACAACTACAGCTAATCAATCCTAAACCTTTAAATTTCAGTCATCTCATAGCAGCTCTCATCTACATAATTGACAATCGCCACAGGAGACAGGCAAAGCATCGACCTTTAACTATTCGACTGACCTTATATTTTTGACCAGACTGGGGATTTCTAGTTCACTCGTTCAACATTTTCAACAACAGATCAACAGATCAGAAGTAAACTTAAAATTCCGCTATTTTTGTTCCTCTCAATAGAATTTATCGTTCATAAACTGCTGAACGAGTGAATTTCATGACCGATATAGTGCCCTTTTCACTGAATTAGATCAGTAGATCATTTTAATGAACTTCGTTTAAAATAAACTTTATTTAGCGGCTAACGACAATGTCAGGATAGTTAAGGTTGTCATCAGACATCAGCCATTTATATAAAAATAACAATATCTACCAGCTTTTAAGAACAGATGTGTTGGCTGGCAGCACTGTTTCCCTAACCGCGACTAATGACAAGGTCAGAATGGTTTAGGTCTTCGGACATCAGCCATATTCCTACACTCATCTCTGCAAAGCACCCAACAGACAGCTCGCATATCATTTTATTCTATCCTATTTCTGTTTCTGTTCGACGTTTTTGGTAATTTTGACTAATCTCTATTTGAAGATTTGAGTTGAGTACAAGAAAAGCAACTCAAAACGTTTCTTGTTGTTCTAACCCGGCATTTAAGCCTTATTCAAAGCAAGATTTTTGTCCAGCTCGAAGGTATTTAAGTATTTTCCCTTTGTGTACAGGAACACCGCACGGAGATCGATGCACGCGCCGGCACCTTTGGGGCCTTTGAGCAGTTCGGCAATGAGCTGCTGCAGGCCAATCATTATGCATCCCCGGAAATTAAGGAGAAGATTGAGGATTTGGCCAAGGCGCGCGAGGATTTGGAGAAGGCCTGGACCGAGCGTCGCCTACAGCTGGAGCAGAATCTCGATCTGCAACTGTACATGCGCGACTGCGAACTGGCCGAGTCGTGGATGTCCGCGCGTGAGGCATTCCTCAATGCGGACGACGATGCCAATGCCGGCGGCAATGTTGAGGCGTTGATCAAAAAGCACGAGGACTTCGACAAGGCTATCAACGGACATGAGCAGAAGATAGCTGCCCTGCAAACCGTGGCAGATCAGCTCATTGCCCAGAATCATTATGCCTCCAATCTGGTGGATGACAAGCGCAAGCAAGTGCTTGAGCGTTGGCGTCACCTAAAGGAGGGCCTAATCGAGAAGCGTTCACGTCTTGGCGATGAGCAGACGCTGCAGCAGTTCTCCCGCGATGCGGACGAGATTGAGAATTGGATAGCTGAAAAGCTCCAGCTGGCCACCGAGGAGAGCTACAAGGATCCGGCCAACATACAATCGAAGCATCAGAAGCATCAAGCCTTTGAAGCGGAGCTGGCCGCCAATGCGGATCGCATACAGAGCGTCCTGGCGATGGGCGGCAATTTGATTGACAAAAAACAGTGCAGTGGCTCGGAGGATGCGGTGCAGAAGCGACTAACCCAAATAGCCGATCAGTGGGAATACCTGACGCACAAGACGACTGAGAAGTCGCTGAAGCTGAAGGAGGCCAATAAGCAGCGCACGTATATTGCTGCTGTCAAGGATTTGGACTTCTGGTTGGGCGAGGTCGAGAGTTTGTTGACCACTGAGGATTCTGGTAAGGATTTGGCGTCTGTCCAAAACCTCATGAAGAAGCATCAGTTGGTCGAAGCGGATATCGTTGCGCACGAAGACCGCATCAAGGACATGAACAACCAGGCCGATTCCTTGGTCGAAAGCGGTCAATTCGATACTGCTGGCATCCAGGAAAAACGTCAATCCATCAACGAGCGCTACGAGCGCATCTGCAATCTGGCCGCCCACCGCCAGGCTCGCCTCAACGAGGCTCTCACCCTGCACCAGTTCTTCCGCGACATCGCCGACGAGGAGAGCTGGATCAAGGAGAAGAAGTTGCTGGTCGGCTCCGATGACTATGGACGCGACTTGACCGGTGTACAGAACCTGAAGAAGAAGCACAAGCGCCTCGAAGCGGAGCTTGGCTCGCATGAGCCGGCCATCCAGGCCGTGCAGGAGGCCGGCGAGAAGCTAATGGATGTGTCAAATTTGGGCGTGCCGGAAATCGAGCAACGCCTGAAGGCCCTGAATCAGGCTTGGTCCGAACTGAAGAATCTGGCTGCTACGCGTGGCCAAAAGCTGGACGAGTCGCTGATCTATCAGCAGTTCCTGGCCCAGGTCGAAGAGGAGGAGGCCTGGATCACTGAAAAGCAGCAGCTGCTATCTGTGGAGGACTACGGTGACTCGATGGCCGCCGTCCAGGGTTTGCTGAAGAAGCACGATGCCTTCGAAACCGATTTTGCCGCCCACAAAGATCGCTGTTCGCTAATCTGTGAGCAGGGCAGCGACCTGGTCGAGGCCAAGAACCATCACGGCGAATCTATTGGCCAGCGCTGCCAGCAGCTGCGCAACAAGCTGGAGAACCTCAACGCTCTGGCCGCACGGCGCAAGGGCGCCTTGTTGGACAACTCGGCCTATCTGCAGTTCATGTGGAAAGCCGATGTGGTCGAGAGCTGGATTGACGACAAGGAGAACTATGTGCGTTCCGACGAATACGGACGTGATCTATCCACTGTGCAAACGCTTTTAACCAAGCAGGAGACATTCGATGCAGGTGAGCAGGGCGTGACGTACTTTTTAATCTGCCATACTTATGCATATCCCTTTCAGGTCTTAATGCCTTTGAGCAGGAGGGCATACACAACATAAGCGCTCTGAAGGATCAGCTGATTAATGCTAATCACGCCCAGTCACCGGCCATACTGAAGCGTCACGGAGACGTGATCGCCCGTTGGCAGAAGCTGCGGGATGCGTCGGATACGCGAAAACAGCGTTTGCTGGCCATGCAAGAGCAGTTCCGCCAAATCGAGGAACTCTACTTGACATTTGCCAAGAAAGCTTCGGCCTTCAATTCTTGGTTCGAAAATGCCGAGGAGGATCTCACGGATCCTGTTCGCTGCAATTCGATCGAAGAAATACGCGCCCTGCGTGACGCGCACGCACAATTCCAAGCGTCTCTCTCATCGGCCGAAGCTGACTTTAAGGCATTGGCAGCGCTCGACCAGAAGATCAAGAGCTTTAATGTTGGACCAAATCCGTACACCTGGTTCACCATGGAAGCTCTTGAGGAGACCTGGCGTAATCTGCAAAAGATCATAGAGGAACGCGATGGCGAACTTGCCAAGGAGGCCAAGCGCCAAGAGGAGAACGACAAGCTGCGCAAGGAGTTCGCCAAGCACGCCAATCTCTTCCATCAGTGGCTAACCGAAACTAGGTGAGTGACCTGCGCCGGTTGTTCTTGGTGTTAGTTTTTGATTCCTCCAGCCAAGTCTTGGCAACAATTTCTTTTAACGAAAACAACTCTTGTGGTCTCCCGCGCGTAATCTCGTCATTCTCCATTAATAATCCGCGTAACTGAAACGTTCAATTCTGTTCTTCTAGATATTATATGCTGGGTTATAATCGTCAAGGGTAATTAAGAAGTCTCCCCACGGACGCAGTGCTTCCACTTTTCCACTATTTTTTCGTTTTTTTACCGTTTCTGTTTTGGCCAAAAGTTTAACCCGCCGCGCTGCTCCACTAACTATAAATATTTATAGGGGGCTCTGCCCTCGCTTTGTAAATATAATATTAAAAAAAAAATATTTCAATTTAGTTATAGTTTAAATTGCTGTAGCAACAGCGCTTAGCAGCAATTAATCAATCAATTTAGCGTTCGATTCTTTCAAAATTCTGTCAAATTAGTTTTTAAATCAATCAACTAAATATTCGAAAGATACGCAGCATGTTAAAATGTAGCATACAGAAAATTTGTAGAAAAATGCATTTCTTTTCGTTCAAGTAGCTTTAACTAATATTCGGCCTATTCTTTTTTAACTCGCTTTTTAGTCATGTTTCGAACTTATGAGTTGCTGAAAATATTCAAAAAATTCTCTCGCGTTTAACTGAAATGTTTTTGCTGATGACACGGCCTCAAAAAGAAAATAAACTTTGAATAAAATTCGCTTCGAGTTCAGCTTGTGTCATAGGTCGATGCATTTCCACACACACACACCTGTATATATGAACATAAGGATGAGAATTTTGGTCGTACGACCCAAAAGATGTAAAAAACGGCCGCCCTTAACCACAGACCTCTAACAAGAATTGCTTTTCTTATGCATAATAATCTACTTTAATCTGCCGTACTTTGTCGTGCTTAACTAATTATCCCTAATCTATTTCAAACACCAAAAATGTACACAAATATTTCGTCGTACGCACGCAGAACCTCAATGATGGAAGGCTCCGGTTCGTTGGAACAGCAACTGGAGGCGCTTCGCGTCAAGGCCACGGAGGTGCGTGCCCGTCGCGTTGATCTGAAGAAAATCGAAGAACTCGGCGCCTTATTGGAGGAGCACTTGATTCTGGATAATCGCTACACGGAACACTCGACGGTGGGTCTGGCCCAGCAATGGGATCAGCTGGACCAGCTGTCGATGCGCATGCAACACAATCTGGAGCAACAGATACAGGCGCGCAACCATTCGGGCGTCTCGGAGGATTCGCTCAAGGAATTCTCGATGATGTTCAAGCACTTCGACAAGGACAAGAGCGGCAAGCTAAACCATCAAGAGTTCAAGTCCTGTCTACGCGCGCTCGGCTACGATCTGCCCATGGTTGAAGAGGGTCAGCCCGATCCAGAATTTGAGGCCATAGTCGATGTGGTCGATCCCAACCGCGACGGCTATGTCTCGCTGCAGGAGTACATTGCATTCATGATTTCGAAGGAAACCGAGAACGTGCAGTCCTACGAAGAAATCGAGAATGCCTTCCGCGCGATCACTGCCGCCGACCGCCCCTACGTCACCAAGGAGGAGCTCTACTGCGTAAGTTACACAAATCCTTATTGAGACAGTAAAATTAATCAAGTTTATATCTTGCACAGAACCTCACCAAGGACATGGCGGACTATTGCGTGCAGCGCATGAAACCTTTCTCGGAACCGCGCTCTGGCCAGCCCATCAAAGATGCTTTAGATTACATAGATTTCACGCGAACGCTATTCCAGAATTAAATTGCGTTTCCTTCAAATGGCGCCTGAGAAAATGTCTTGCAACTTATTTCTAAAAAAAAAAAACAAAAATATTACAAACATATATTTACACGATTTTTTTCGATCATTTTTAGTATCTAAGCCAACAGAAATATGCTTATTTAAGAATTAATGCCACAATGAGCCCAAAACAAAACAATAATCGAGCACTTTTAACACATTTGGTAGCTTTTGCATTTATATATTCCCGTATTCATCTATCTCCCAAGTGGTATCTTAAACTTTGACATGACAAAACGTAGTATCTGTCTATATATAATCAAAATATATAAAAATGCTTATAAACCAGATTATACGCCGCATCCTAGCGAAATGCTTGGCTCTATAAATATACTACCCAAAACTTTCGAAATGTTCCGCGTTTGTAATCGAAACATGATCAAATTTAAGAAACAAAATTAATTTTCAGTTTCCAGTTTATATAAACGAAATGCAATTGGTAAAATAACCAAAACAAATTTTTATAAAAATAAAAAATATTGCTATTTACACTTCAACAAATTGCAAATAAAAATTATATTGCTGCATGTCTTACAAATGTTATAAACAAATGTGTTTAATTTTGATAAATTTAGCTAAATTGTAAATAAAAAGAATATTGGATGGGAACGGATGACGATCCTCCCGAGGAGAGTCTAAATATATTTCATTAAAGCTCCTACGGCCGAACACAAAGCTCAAAAGTATAGAATTTCATGAAGATCCAAATAGTTATTTATGATAAAATATGTTTATTTAACTACTTGAAACAGGACAAACAATATTCAAATCATATCAGGAATTTATTAATGCTCTCCACATAGGCGGTATTAAGTTTTGCGTTGAGCACGTGTTTGGGCAGCCATTCGTATGGAACCGGCGGCGATTGCTTCTCGTCCACGTTTCCAGCCCGCAGCGAGGCACGGTAGAAGAATATCTTGGCACCGACGCTCTCGATGCGCTGCTTGCTCGGATACTTGTACTTGTAGAAGCCAACGGGCGCATTGCCATAGAACAGGACCTGCAAATCTGTGCCACATCGCTCGCGAAGCACACGCTCCGCTGTTTGTCGCATGGATTCGCCCTCCTGGCGGAGACCCTGCGGCAGCACCAAATGCTCCTGTTGGCCGAGCTTTTGCTTAACTACCAGATAGAGCGTGTCCTCCAAGCATCGGTCCGTTGAGGTGGTTTTGTTAGCGGCGTCGTCGGGCGTGGTGCATGGCGCGAATCGAAACTTCTTCAGCTCCTCGGTGTAGGCATCTTTCAGATCTTGAGCGGTTTGCTTGGCTACCGAGTCATCGAGGTCCACCTGCGCTTTACCCTGCTTAATCAGCTCAGCCTGCAGCATGTCGCGTTCGTGCTTTAGCTCAAAGTCTGATTTAAGACTGTTTTCGTACTCGACCTGGGACAGCATATCTTGGAACTGTCGCTCCAATGGATTCAAAGTTTTGGTGACCACCGGCAGCCGCTCGACCAAGACACCAGCATACAAATCCCACTTATCCTTGGGGCTCTGCGTAGACGAGGACTGTGCGCGCACCAGTTGTCTGGAACTGATTTGTGTAAGGAGGCGTAGCATTTTATTTTTTTTTAATTATAATTTAAATGCACAGTAAGAATCTCTCCTCTTCGATTACATGAGCAGAAGGCGAACGGAGAACAGCTGCTATGCAACCGATAATATATTTATATCGATATTTCGATTAATATATTTCCAATGCCAAACGTTTTACAAAGGCGAGCATTCGCGTTAGTTTGTTTTAAAGCTTGAGAATAACTCTTGAAGAGCAGACAGAATGTCCGGTTTGGAGTCTTACATTAACCACACAGTCTCAATTATTACGGCGGATGGACGGAACTTCATAGGCACGTTGAAGGGTTTCGATCAGACAATCAACATCATCATTGATGAGTGCCATGAGCGCGTCTTTTCCACAACGTCGGGAATCGAGCAAATTGTGCTCGGCCTCCACATCATCCGAGGCGACAATATAGCAGTGATTGGACTGATAGATGACACGGTGGACTCGCGCCTGGATTTGGCGAACATACGCGGCGAGCCGCTTGGACCGGTTGTGCATTAACTGAAGTAGCTCTTAGTTCAAATAAACTCATCAAATTTTATACATAACATGGAAATGGATATTTATTGACACACAGCTATTTGGACTCTACACTTAAATTAATCTGGCGGCAATTGAGGTCCACGCTCTGCTTCTTGCAGAAGCTATGCTCACAGACGAGATACAGCTATTCGGATACTGCACTAAACTTAATCTGGCGGCAATCGAGGCTCTCCAAATCGATGAGGGCCACACTCTGCGTCTTGCAGAAGCTGGGCACACAGACGAGACGCGTTTTCTTCCCGCCTGTGCCGACATGGAGTTCGGTTTCGAAGGATTCACAGTTGCCGGCAAAGTAGACGTGGGGGCATTCCTTCATTATAAACGGATCACTGCTTATGTACGGATAGCAGGCGAGCGTGTCCGGTGCTGTGGGCGCCACATGGCCCCAGGTGAGCGTGCAGCGCAGTGCTTGCAGTGAAGAGTCTAGCGATGTGCTCCGCAGCAAGTCGGCAACATTCTGGCCGGCAGTGCCAACTACGAGCGCACTGTCCAGCCGACACGCGTAGGGATTGGATACGGATTGAAAGGATGAAAGCTGCGAGGCCAGCGGAAACATGCATTTATGAAATGGCTGCTGGGGCAGCATAAAATTGGCCGGATCGTAGGCGCCAGGCATAACGTCGACGGTGAGTGCATGTGCCCACGATACAAACCAACTATCTAGTTGGCCAACCGCCTGCACAGTGTCGTTCGCATTCGCCTGGTTGCGTGCCACTTGCAGGGTGGGCGCGTGTGCTATAGCTGTGCTGCGCACCGAGTTCCCGGCTACTATGAGCCGCACCGTGGACTGAGCTTCGCGGCTATTGCCAAGGCAACCGCTCAGCCAGTACTGGAATATGTTTAATGCATCCACATAGTTGTGCGCCTGCAGCTGATCCAAGCCTGAAATGATCACCAGTTTGCTGCCGGGCGTGCGTGGACTCAGCGGCTTCTGTGGCCCGCTCTCCAGGAAGAGCACCTCTTCGACGTTAAAGTAGCCGTCATTGTCAGTGCCTCCTTTGACGGCGCAAACAATGCCCGTGGCCAGGTTACGCGCTTCCAGGTGCTCACCCTGCAATCGTACACGCTGCAACTCGTCCTCCAACATAACCTTGTCTTCGGGCTCCGAGTAGTTTTGGCGTTGTGGCTGCGGTGCCAGTTGATTCTCTTCGGAGATATCACGCAAAATGCTGGGCTTGTGTGCCTGATGCTTGTAGACTGTGCCAATTATAATGCATTGGACGTTCTGTTCCCCGCGCAGCTCACACAATTTCATTATTGGTACCTCTTTGCCCCATTTCGTCTGCCCCAGTGGCGCCAACAGGCGCGTCATTTCGGCCAAACGATGTGCATACAGATGGCAGAACTGCTTTTGATAGTCGGTAGTCTGCAGCAGATATGGGCTGCTTAGGTTCTCGTAGTGACAATTTAAGCGACTAGGCATGTTTATTTAATAATTTGTTTACTGCAATTATAGTATTTACGCGCCAACAAAACACAAGAGTACATTAGAGATGTCAATGTCAATGATACTATCGATGCTATACATTGTCGAAGACTATCGATGAATTGCGATATGTACCAGGGCTGGACGAACCGATTATCGGTAGTCTTTGGCAGACCAGCTGATAGACAGATTAACTCGTTTACAATTTGCAGCGTAGAAAAAGTTTTGCGTGTTTGCAAAAAAACGCTAAATGCATTGAAACAATGATTTCCACCAACAAACACGCCAGCAAAATGTTTAACTACAATTGGAACAAGCAAATGCTGTGCGCGTGTAGTGCCAAGTGGTGATTTGTGTGAACGCGTGAAAGCTCGCATCTGTATTGATTTTTACGTTGCCCTTGCCGCGAACTGTTTATTGTTATTGTTTCGTGCAGGTTGCAAGAGCCATAAGACACGAAACTGTGTTGCCAACATGCAGATGCAGCCGACCTGGTATTAGTTGCTTAAACCAACATTGATCACTGCATCATATATAGACATTAAAGTCATCCCCTTGAGGGATACTGTCGCGGGCGGGGTAGGAGGATACAGGTCGGACCAGCAGAGATATGGGCGGCCAGGTTAGCCAGGTGTTTCGGTCGGGCTCGGCTCTACTGTCACATCGGGATGGCCATAAAGTCTCAAAGGCAACGGAAGAGAAAATACAGACACTTTTTGAAATTCTGCGTGCGAATCCAAAAATCTCATTGCAAACTCTTGAAAGTCTGCTAATTCAGATACCCAAAAATGAGAACATCTTGTATATACACGATGATTGTGGCTACAATATACTGCAGCGCAGCGTTGGACTCAATCACATCGATCTCACCAAATGGCTGCTGCATCGCCATCGACCGGACGTAAACCGGGCGCCATGCTCCCTGCCCCTGCATATAGCGACGCTGCGCGGCTACGAAGAGTGTGTGGAGCTGCTGCTGCGTCATGGAGCCCGCATCGATGCCGATACCCGCATGTGCTTCCCAGGCGCACATTCGCACAACTGCGAGGAGAGCGGCAAGTGGCACAGCAACGTGGACGATGTCAGCGAACGGCTGAACACCAAGCTCCAGAATGCCCTCTGCTATGCCATCGACGGTATTGTCAAATATTGCTCAATTAATTTTAATTTAAGTATAATAATTAAGTTAAGTTATATATGCCTATTAAGGTATCTTAAACATCCTTTCAATTCATTAATTCCACTCGGCTCTTAGGCGATCAGTATAATGTGTTAAGCATGATGACGCAGAAGATGGAGGAGCCATGGATACCGTTTCGGGCCAAGAAGCCTCTGCTGCATTTGGCATGTGAGCGTGGCGCGTGGAACTGTGTCCAGCAGCTGGTCGTTACACGATCCGAGGAGATAAACCTCATCATGGACGAATACTATCCCATACACCATGCGGTACTCCACGATGGACGCTTTCTGGAGCTGCTCATACAACACGGCGCCATCACCACAGTCCGGACGTGCACACAGCAGATGACCCTGCTGCATGTTGGCAAGTCAACTGCTCGCTTAATTAAGTATCTTTTGTTTTAATATACTCCTTTTATTTGAAGTAATTTTTGCTGCCCGAAAGTCGGCCGAGGATACGCAGGCTACGTTGCGCATTCTGCTTGATCGGGGCTGTAAGGAGCTGATTAACGCTCCGGACACGCTGGGCAATACGCCGCTGCATGCGTTGATCGTGCGTTATGCTCTGGAGGAGGCACGCTATGGCTACGACAAGTGGAGCAAATGGGATGTTTTGCATTTGGTCAGATTTCTGCTGCAAAACGGCGCCAAGGCATCCATTAATCAGGCTGGAAATAGTGCCATGGCCTGCGTATTTCGCCATCTCCGCGACTGGGAGGTCTGCTACGAGCTGCTCAACATGCTTATTAGAGAGGACGGTGCGTTTTTTATAACCAAACCAGCAATTAAATGTAATTATATAATGCTGTTCCGCCCCAGGTGATCCCAACATTGTCGGCCGCGACGGCTCAGTGCCCATAATGGTGCTGCTGGTGCCACTCATCAACAAGGATCATCTGCATCACTTTACGCATTCAATGAAGGTGAATATTCCAGACTCTTCCAGCACACACATACTCTATATGGCATTGTTTCTTTCAAGGTCTGCTATCTCAATTGCATACGGATATTGCTGCAGCATGGCGCCAATCCGAACTGTTCATATCGGGCGAACTTGAAACCCTTGCACGTGCTGGTCTTTACGGTCAGCGAGAACTTTACGCTTAATTGTGACGCACAGAAACGCACAAACTTTGACTTTATTAAGAACATTCTGCTGCTTCTGCTGCAGCATGGCCTGGACTGCAATAAAACATATCAGCACATTCTGCAGGCCGTTATGGATATGGTGCAGAACGTGCGAACTTGCCAGGATATGGAATGCATATATGAGCTGACGCTGACGCTTATACAGTACGGCGCCGATCCAAATATTGTGCTGAGCAGCAAGACAACACCTGGCATTGCAATCTTCTCCAGCGAAATTGCCAGCTATGGTGAGGCGCTCGGAGGTGGTGCCGGCGGCGGAGGCGGAGGAGCTGCTGCTGCATTGGGCGACAACACGTTTCGCAACTCGTTTCGCACAAACTCACGCTATTTGCTTTTTTACTATATTATACTGATAACGAAGAAGGAATTTATACTCAACGATCCGCAATCGACATACACACGCATAATTCATCTCTTCTATCTGACCATGGAGCACGAGCCCCTCTACAATTGCCTCAAGTCTCTGCACAATTTCTACGTAGCCCAAGTACCGCACAAGAAAACCGAGCAGCTGATTGCTTTGATCTCGACGCTGTATCGTCGGCCGCGCAGCCTCAAGCAGCTGGCCCGGATGGCCATCTATGAAGCTATGAATAGGAAGCTGGCGCAGAATGTAAATCGCTTGAATTTGCCGGGACCGCTCAAGGATTATGTACTTCAATTCGAGGGATAACCAGTGCAAGGGCATTCAGGACGTTAATTCAACTATTTTGTAGCTGAAAGTAGCTATTTTCAGAGTAAACAGCTAAAAACAATTGAATTTGTTTCTGATTTTTGCCTTTTTATTGCTAAAATCTGATTTGGCTACTATTAACGAAGCGGCAGTTGTCAAGCAATTAAAATAATATAATTATATATTCATAGCGTCGTCAATGTTAACTTATTAACGACCAATGACTACTTGAAATCAATCATTATTGCAATTGTTATGTTGCCCCTTAAGCTATGGAATATTTTACATGCAAATTTCCTAAATTACAAACGCACACAACCATATGTTAAGTATTTACAGTATATATCAAATATATATATATAATCATGCATCAAATAATTATTATGAATTAAGATATGAAAACGCTTAAACGTACCTAAAAACTTAAACAAAAACAAACATCCAAATCAAACATGTGCAATTTCTTTTATACGAATCTATTGTTCAAAACGCTCATAAGTAAATTATGTATTGTGAATCTATTCAATTGTATAACTTTTACGTGTTGTGCTTCAAATGCGCATATGCCCCGCACACAGCCCACCATCGCCCCCTAAAACTATTCTTATGCCTACCACGACAGAATACCCCAGCACAGACGCCCAGACACATTTCTTTCATAAATTTAAGGCTGTTTTTTGATAAATAATTCGGGGTTCTCTTTTTAGAATATTGTATATTTGAAGGCAATTTAACAACTGTTATACACATATATATATATATATATATATATATAAATATATATATATATATACATAAAATTATTATTGTAATTATTGTTGCTTATAACAAAAACAAAAAAAAAGGAGTTGTTAATCTGATCTGTAATGTCATTTGTAATCGAATTGGTACCGATATCTATATCATAATTGTTATGGTGGATTAAATAAATACATAATAATATACGCACAGTGGGACTTTCAAAATGGCGTCTAACGCCTTTAACAGATGTGACACAGTTATCGATATCATAATTGTTATCGGGAATTAAATAAATACAAATGCACACACACATACGCAAATTGGGACTAACAAAATGGCGTCTAACGCTCAGCAGCAGTCGACAATTTGTACATACATAGAACGACAAAATACAAAAACAAAACAACGCACACACAAGTTGCCTTAGTAACGATTAACAGGATATTGTAATCAAATGTTAAGACGTTGCACGTTTGGCCCAACAACATAAATAATTTATTTATATCTTGCACATGATTCGCAGCACAACTAGCCGGCCTGCAAGATGTATAGCCGCAAGCTGGAGCGCATGCATCGCCCCCCCTCGGACATAACCAAATATGACAATGAGCCGTATATGAAGAACCCGCTGCTCACGTTCCGCATATCGGAGGTGCACGAGCGGCGACATTATATGTTCCTCAAGCAGCGGGCGGCCGACATCAAGGTGAAGGTGGCAAAAAAACCGTGGGAGCCGGAGCCGGAGATGCGACCGCTGCCGCAGGTGCACTATATAGACAATTTACGCCGCGAAGTGCGCAAGATCATTGTGCCCCGTATGTTGCGCAAGACGGAAGCAAAGATTTTAAGCTTTGCCTCGGACCGACTCAAAACCAAGTATCCCGAGTTGGTCAAGGCGTACATGGGTGATGTGCACGAGGAATACGATCGGCTCATGAAGATATATAGCATGAAGAACATACTGCAGCATCCAGAGTTTGCCGATGAGGATCCCACAAAGTTTGATCTGCCGCATGCAGATTTCCATTCCAGCCTGCCCGGACGCTCAGCCAACTACAAAACGTATCTGGAGAATCGGCGTAAAATCGCCAAAAAGCTGCTAATCCTGCAGATGCCCATGCGCGTCATACTGAGCATCTCGGTCGCGGAACTACCCGATTTGGCCTGTAATTTCCAGTACGTGGGCAGCATGGGTGCCCAGCAGCAGCAGTTGGGTCTTTGTGGACGGGAGGCCCTGTCGTACAAGTTCTATCGCAAGTATATACAGAATCAATTGGATAGAGTCAACACATTTCTGCGCTGGACCTGGTACAGTCGGCTGGTGTCCGTACTGCGGCGCATGATGCGCAAGCGTGTCATGCCCATGAACGTGTGGAGGCGCGCTTGGGGCGGCCTAGAGGGGCTGATGAATCGGGAGGTGAACAACATGAAGATGCGCACATTTGAGGAAATGTTTCGCATATGCGCTAATCCGCGCACCATGCCCGTTTTTCGCATGTCTTTGGGCTGGAACGATGTGGACGACGGCCTGGACATGCGGCCCAGTCTTTCCAATATTCAGAGCATGTTTGGCGAGATTGTCACCGAAATCTCAATGGTTGGCTATCGCATGGAGGCGCTCCAGCCGCAAGTGGACTCGCTGTCCACCTACGGTCAAGTGAACGATTATCTAAAGATCGAAATGAATGAGAACACCGTCAAGGATGTCATTAACCGAGTCCAGAAAATTATTGTCAACACCTACACCCAACTGATGGACTACCTCAATGGCTATCGTCAAAAGTATTTTGCTCTCTACTCGGCGGACGAGCGCAACCGGCTTGCCAAATTTCTGGAGGAGCCGCACGAGTTCGAGGAATACTTCGCCCGCATCGAAACCTACTACGATTTCATCAACAAGCTGCGCAGCGAACCGGCCACGGACTTCTTCGAGATGGCCGTCATTGATAACGAGCCGGCCATCCAGGGGCTACGTTCCATGGCCGAGAACCTAATTGCCAACATTACCGCAATTATCATAAGCGAGCATATTAAAGCCGAGGAGGAGATATGCGAGGAGTTCGAAAAGATTAAGGACAGCGCTCTTTTGATACCAAAGTCCACGGAGGAACTGCTTGAAAGCGCCGACTACATGATCTACGTGAAGATGAAGAAGCTGGCAGAGCTCACGGATCGCATTCAATATTGCCTGCAAGTCGGCACCAATATTGTAGAGCTCACTCAGATGTCCAAGTATCATTTCGATCTGACCATCAAGACCATAAACTGGATTAAGGACATTAACGATATCTGCGATTATAACGCATCGCAGCAGGAATACTACAAGTTCCTCTTTGAGGAGCATCTACAGGAAGTCGTGAAGAAGCTGAACACGGACATTCAGGAAATGTTGCCCAAATTGGGTATCATTGATGACATGAGCAGGCCGGACAAGTTTCGCGAGTGCTACATCATACTCCAGAACTTTATAGATCAGCTGAAGACATTTGATGACTACGTGGCCTGGATAAACAAGGAGGAGAAACTGTTCAAAATCAACCAAACCGAATACCCAACTCTGGAAGTCATCAAGGGCTTTGTTTACCCATTTGCGGACCTGATGAAGTAAGTAGAAATAAAGTTAAAGATTTTTGGAGCTGATGTGAATTTTATCTTCCAGATTGTGCATTGAATGGCAGCGCTATTTGAGCGTGTGGAGGGATGGTCCCTTTGAGTACCTGGAGCCAAAGTTCGTGGAGACGACGACGGAAGATTATCTGAAAGAGTTTCAAAAGAATCAGAAATATTATCGCATTAAGATCAAGCAGGACATGGTTGAGGATCCCGTTTGCAAATTTAAGGTGAATACCTTGCACACAAATGGATCAATTATTTAAATGCGTACTTATAGGGTCAAACCGAGGATCCTGATCCGGAGAAGCATCCCGTGCCACTGCGCCTGTGCGCCACAATGATAAGGTCCATCAAGGACTTTACCATTGGCGTATTTGTCGTGAACACGCTGTGCAATCCGGCACTGCGCAAACGCCACTGGAAGGAGATGTCGGAAATAGCAGGATTCGATATAACGCCGGACGCCGGCACAACGTTGCGTAAGATTCTGAATTCTGGTCTCGACGGCATACTCGATCAGTTCGAAATTATCAGCATAAGCGCCAATAAGGAGCTGCAACTGTGGAACAATCTGCAGCTGATGATCAAAGAGTGGGAGAATAAGGTCTTTCCCACCGGCCCCTACAAGGAGACAGGTGTTACAATACTCTCCAGCATGGACGACATACAGGCGCTTCTGGATGATCACATACTCAAGACGCTGGCCATGCGTGGCTCGGCGTTTATGAAGCCCTGCGAAGAGGAGGTGCGCGCCTGGTATGAGAAAATCATGCGCGTCAACGAAACGCTGGATCAGTGGGGAAAGGTTCAGGTCAATTACCTGTACCTGCTGCCCATATTCTCGTCCAAGGACATTGTTGCCCAGATGCCAGAGGAGGGTCGCCTCTTTTCCGTAGTCGAACAAACCTACACCCGCAACATGGGCCTGGTTATGCGCAATCCGCTTGTCATGGAGACGGCGCCAACAGTAGGCCTGCTGGAGTCTCTGCAAAAGGCCAACGAATTGCTGGAGGACATATCCACGGGCGTAAGCAACTATTTGGAAAAGAAACGTTTATATTTTCCGCGTTTCTTCTTCCTGGCAAACGATGAAATGCTGGAAATTCTGTCCGAGACCAAGGATCCGTTGCGTGTTCAGCCGCATCTCAGCAAATGCTTTGAGGGCATCAACATACTAGAGTTCGATGCCGGCAAAAATGTTCTGGCCATGTTCAGCAGCGACAAGGAGCACGTCCAGTTTATAGAGCAGATATCAACGGTAGCTGCCGGTGGTAGCGTGGAGAAATGGCTGATTGGCGTCGAGGATGAAATGCTAAAGGCCGTGCGCTACGAGAGCGAGCTCTCCTTCAATCACTATCCCACTGTGAAGCGCAACGAGTGGGTGCTGGAGTGGCCCCAAATGGTTGTGCTGGCCGTCTCACAAGTCTATTGGGCCTCGCGCATGCACAGCTGCCTGCGTCGCAGCTACGGCGGTAACCAGACCGTGATGAACCACTTCTTCCAGGAGCTGACCAAGGAGCTCAATGACATTGTGACACTGGTGCGTTCGCCCGTCATCAGCAATCTGAACCGGATCACCATCAAATCTCTGATTGTAATTGATGTGCATGCCAAGGACGTGACCGAGGAGCTGATACGGCTGAAGATCAGCAGCGAGTACGACTTCCAGTGGCTGGCCCAGATGCGCTACTACTGGGAGGACTCCACGATGCTTGTGCGCATCATCAATGCGACGGTGCCCTTTGCCAACGAGTATTTGGGCAACTCGGATCGTCTGGTGATCACACCGCTCACGGATCGCTGTTATCGCACATTGGTGGGTGCCTATCAGCTACATTTAAATGGTGCTCCGGAGGGACCCGCCGGCACGGGCAAGACAGAAACAACCAAGGATTTGGCCAAGGCGCTAGCTGTGCAGTGCAAGGTGTTCAACTGCTCGGATGGCTTGGACTACAAGGCGATGGGCAAGTTCTTTAAGGGACTGGCCTCGTGTGGCGCCTGGGCATGCTTCGATGAGTTCAATCGTATCGAGCTGGAGGTGCTGTCCGTCGTGGCACAGCAGATTCTGCTCATCATCCAGGCGGTACGCGCGAATGCGACTAAGTTTATGTTCGAGGGCACGGAGCTAACCCTGAATCCGGCCTGTTATGTGTGCATTACCATGAATCCTGGCTACGCGGGCCGTTCCGAACTGCCCGACAATCTGAAGGTGCTCTTTCGATCCGTTGCCATGATGGTGCCCGATTACGCCATGATTGGGGAGATCTCGCTCTACTCGTACGGCTTTGTCGATGCCCGTAAGCTGGCTGTTAAAATCGTGACCACATACCGACTGTGTTCCGAACAGTTGTCCAGCCAAAACCATTACGATTACGGCATGCGAGCCGTAAAAACCGTGCTCTCCGCCTGCGGCAACATTAAGAAACAGTTCCCTGACGAGGTGGAAGACATTCTGCTGCTGCGCAGCTTGATCGATGTAAATCTTCCGAAGTTTCTGTCGTTTGATGTGCCGCTCTTTGAGGGCATCATTTCGGACATCTTTCCGGGCATCGAGCTGCCTCACATCGACTACAGCCTAATGGAGGCGGAGTTTCAGCGCGTCTGCAAGGAGGAAATCCTGGAACCGGCGCCCAGCTTCCTCATCAAAGTCATCCAAACCTACGAGATGATCATCGTGCGGCATGGCTTCATGCTGGTCGGCGAGCCGCTGGCAGGCAAGTCCAAGACGCTGCAGGTGCTGGCGAAGGTCTTGTCGGCACTGAAGATAAAGGCGCCGTCCAAGAGCCCCTACTTTCAGCACGTGCAGATGGGCATAATGAATCCCAAGTCCATAACAATGAACCAGCTGTACGGCTCCTTTGATCCCATATCCTACGAGTGGACGGACGGCCTGGTGGCCAAAATCTTTCGAGATTTCGCCATGACACCGACACCAGACAGAAAATGGGTAGGTTGATTGTGATCCCTTCCCATTAGCCACTTTTTATCTATGTGTATCCTTCTGTAGGTCATCTTTGATGGTCCCGTGGACGCGGTTTGGATAGAGAACATGAATACTGTCCTGGACGACAACAAGAAGCTGTGCCTGACCAGCGGCGAGGTGGTCACCATGTCCAATGAAATGTCAATGGTGTTTGAGGTAATGGACCTGGCGCAGGCATCCCCAGCTACCGTCTCGCGCTGTGGCATGATCTACATGGAGCCCACAACTCTGGGCTGGCGCTCGTTTGCAAATACCTGGCTACAGAAAGCCGATCCCCGCTGGGCCGATAAGGAAAACACCCAATACATGCTGGACATGCTGCAATGGCTCCTGGTGCCCGTGAGTACAGACTAGAGATGTGATTCCCAGTCGTTCATCATGCATATTTTTAGTCCCTGACTTTTGTGAGGCGCTTTTGCAGTCAGTTCATCAAGCCGGGCGAGTTTAATTGTATGTTAACTACATTTGATTTGATAGACATGTTGCTGGACGAGGCCATTGAGGAGAATCCCGACGATTACGACAAGTACATACTAGGCTACATACAGGCCGCGATGCTCTATGGCCTGGTTTGGGGTGTGGGCGGAGTTCTCAATACAGAATCCCGTGAGAAGTACGACACATACTTGCGAAGTGTAGGTATTTCCATTCCATAGTTATGTTGCTTATTAGAATAAGTTGCCTTGCCCAACAGATATACGAACAGGAGCCTGTGGCATTGGGCAAAATGGAGGTGACACCGCCCATGGAGGGTCTCCTTGTCGACTATGTGTTTGTCTTTAAGCAGCGCGGCACGTGGCGCTATTGGCCCGAGATAGCTAAGCGCATGGATGTGGAAGAGACCAAAACGGGTGTCATTGTGCCCACTGTGGACACGGCTCGATATATTCACCTGCTGAAAATGCATGTGCAGCACAAGAAACGCATGCTGCTCGTCGGTCCGACCGGGACCGGCAAGAGCGTCTATATACAAAACTATCTGATGAACAAACTGAATCCCGATGAGTACGAGACTGGCTTTATAACCTTTACCGTGATGATAACCGCCAATCAGACGCAGGAGCAGATTATAGCCAAGCTGCAGAAGTGGAAGCGCGGCATCTTTGGACCACCGAAGGGCATGCAGAGCGTGCTCTTTGTGGACGACATGAACATGCCCGTGAAGGAAGTGTACGGTGCTCAGCCGCCACTGGAATTGTTGCGACAGTTCTTCGACTATGGCCATGTGTACGATTTGAAGGATAGCTCCAAGATCTATATAAACAATGTTCTCATCATGACCGCCTGCGGCCTGCCGGGCGGCAGTCGCCAAGATGTCTATGCGCGCTTTCTCAACCACTTTAATGTCTACTCCATCAACACGTTCAGCGACGATACCATGTTCCGCATCTTTCTCAATGTGGCGCTAAACGGCTTTCGGCGCTCGGGCCACGGACAGGATGTCTTCGTGGTGACCAATCAGATTGTGAGCGCCACGCAGAGCATCTACAAGAGCGTCCAGTCCGAAGTGCGCGCCACGCCCGCCAAATCCCATTATATATTCAATCTGCGCGACATTTCACGCGTTGTCACCGGCTGCACCCTGGTTCGAAAGGAGTCGGTGAATGACAAGAAAATGCTGATACGCGTCTGGTACCATGAGGCCATGCGTGTATTTTACGATCGCCTCGTGGACGACATCGATCGCAAATGGATGTTCGAGAAGCTGAACGAATGCCTCAAGTCCAACTTCAAGGACAAGGTGGAGAGCGTCTTTGAGAAGTATGTCGCGGTGAGTTCGAGAGTTCATTGCAATTAAATATAATTGAAGATTAATAAACATTAAACTTGGCAGGAACCGGATCAGTTGTTCACAATGGAGGTCGCCAACGAGGTGTTCTTTGGCATGTACTTTGATGAGGACAGCGAGCCAGACGAACGACGCTACGAGGAGGTGCCCAGCATGGAGATCTTTCACAAGCTGTCCGAGAACAGCCTTGAGGATTACAACTCGACGCGTCGTTCTAAGATGGACATAACCCTGTTCACGTTCGCGTTGCAGCATCTGAACCGGATCTGCCGCATCATATCCATACAGGGCGCCAGCGCGTTGCTTATCGGGCTGGGCGGCTCTGGGCGGCAGTCACTGACGAAGCTGGCCACCAACATGGTGCAGACGTCCTTCTTCCAGCCGGAGATAACCAAGAACTATGGCGCCAATGAATGGCACGATGATATCAAGGCCATACTGAAAGAGGCGGGCGGCATGAATAAGCACACCACGTTTCTCATCACCGAGAATCAGATCAAAATGGAGCTGTTCCTGCAGGATATCGATTGTCTGCTCAATCAGGGCGAGGTGCCCAACATCTTTCCCATCGACGAGAAGCAAGAGGTGCTTGAGATGGTGCGCCTCGCCGCCCAGGGTGGCAATCGCAATATTGACGTCTCCCCGCTGCAGGTCTTCTCGTTCTTTGTCAATCGCTGCAAGCAGAAGCTGCACATAGTGCTCAGTTTCTCGCCGATTGGCGACGCTCTGCGTACCCGGGTGCGTTTGTATCCTTCGCTGGTGAATTGTTGCACCATCGATTGGTACGACAGTTGGCCGGAGGAGGCGCTTCAGATGATAGCCAAAATGTCGCTGGTCGATGTGAACGTGCCCTCCGAAGAGATCAAATTGGCCATCATGGACACCTGCCAGTACTTTCATACGACGGCGGCGCGTGTCACGCGCGCCTTCTGCCAGATGTCCAATCGCCACATCTACCAGACAAACGCCTCCTTCATCGAGCTGATCCGATCCTTTCAGACGCTTATCGCGCGCAAGCAGGAGGAGACCATGCTGGCCAAAATGCGCTACATTGGTGGATTGGATACGTTGGCGCAAGCGGCGGCTGCCATTTCCATAATGCAGCGTGATTTAGGTGCATTGCAGCCCAAACTGGTAGCGCTTGCGGAGAACTCGCGCAAAATGATGCTGGAGATTAACAAGGAGACGCTTGCTGCCAGCGCTGCTGCCGAGCAGGTCAAACAGGACGAGGAGGTGGCCTCCGTGCAGGCTGAGGCCGCGCAGGTACTCAAGGGCGAATGCGAAAAGGATTTGGCCAAGGCCATACCCGTGCTTGAAGATGCACTGGCCGCTCTGAACACTCTCAAACCGGCGGACATCACACTGGTGAAGTCCATGAAGAACCCTCCGCCGGTCATCAAACTGGTCATGGCGGCGGTCTGTGTGATGAAGGGCCTGTCGCCGGAGCGCGTACCCGATCCGTCCACCGGCAAGATGGTCAACGATTTTTGGGGGCCCAGCAAGCGTATCCTGGGCGATATGAATTTTCTGCCCGCCCTCAAGGAGTTCGACAAGGACAATATACCGGTTGAGGTAATGAAGCGCATACGCAAGGAGTTCATACCCAACAAGGACTTCGATCCTAAGGTGGTGGCCAAAGCCTCCAGCGCCGCCAAGGGTCTCTGCCAGTGGGTCATCGCCATGGACATGTACGACGACGTCGCCAAGGTGGTGGCGCCCAAGAAGGCCAAGCTCGCCGCCGCCGAGAAGGAGTACGCCGACACGATGGCCTTTCTGGCCGAGAAGCGGGCCATGGCCGCGGCGCTGGAGGAGAAGGTGGCGCTGCTCAACATTGAGCTGGACAAGGCGAATGAGGAGATGACAAAGACCGAGCAGCATGCCGAGAATTGCCGTAACAAGCTGATACGCGCCGAGGCGCTGATCGGTGGGCTCGGTGGCGAAAAGTCGCGCTGGAGCAAGGCAGCCGATGATCTGCAGGATCTGTACGATCATCTGCCGGGCGATGTGCTCATCTCGTGCGGCATTATTGCCTATTTGTCGGCAGTGAATCTGCAGTACCGGGCGAACTGCGTCCAGGATTGGTTCAAGAAATGCAACGCCCTGCAGATACCCTGCTCGAAGAAGTACTCGATCACGACTGTCCTGGGCCTGGAGGTGACCATACAGAACTGGCAGCTGGACGGCCTGCCAAACGATGAGTTCTCCAGCGAGAACGCCATCATCTCGGCCAACTCGAGTCGTTACAGTCTGTTCATCGATCCCCAGGGCCAGGCCAACAATTGGCTCAAAAACATGGAGCGCAAGAATCGCTTGAACTGCGTCAAGTTCAATCAGAGTAACTACATGAAAATCATTGCCGACGCCTTGGAGTACGGTTCGCCCGTGATCATTGAGAATGTGCAGGAGGAGCTGGAGGTGCCACTGGATCCGATCCTAATGCGGCAGACCTTCCTGCAGGGCGGCGTCAAGCACATCAGCCTCGGTGAAAATGTGGTTCCGGTCTCCCCGAACTTTCGCCTCTATATGACGTGTAATTTGCGCAATCCTCACTTCCTGCCGGAGACGTTCAACAAGGTGACGGTGATCAATTTCGCGCTCACCCAGAACGCTCTGATGGACCAGCTGCTGAGCATTGTGGTGGCCAAGGAGCGACCCGATCTGCAGGAGCTACGCATCATGCTGACCACCGAAGCGGCGGCCAATAAGGGCGCCCTTCGCGATGCCGAGAACATGATCCTGAAGACCTTGACCTCTAGTGAGGGTGATATACTGGAGAATGAGGCGGCCATCCTGATCTTAGCCGATTCGAAGACGCTCTCCAAGGACATCACGGAGAAACAGGAGGCAGCCAAGGAGACGTCGGCCAAAATTGAGGCATTCCGCCTTAACTACAAGCCCGTCGCAGTGCACTCCTCTATACTGTATTATTCCATAACCGATTTGCCCAATATTGATCCCATGTACCAGTTCTCCCTCAACTGGTACATCAACCTGTATATGTACTCCATTGAAACGGCCAACAAATCGAAGGATCTGCCACGACGCATCAAGTTTCTGGTCGATGGATTCACCCGGAATCTGTACAACAACGTTTGCCGCTCCATTTTCGAGAAGGACAAGCTGCTCTTCTCGTTCATACTCACCGCCCGGATTATGCTAGGCACGGGTCAGGTCGAGATGCGTCATCTGTCGCATCTGCTGACCAATGCCAAGGAGTCCACCAACTTACCGCCCAATCCCGATCCCAGCTGGATAACCGACATCGTTTGGCTGAATTTCCTGCGCCTAGAAGAGCTCAAGGAGCTGAGTGGAATTGTCAACTCGTTCCGCGGAAATTTGAGCGCATGGCAAGCGATCTATGATCATGTCTCGCCGGAGCTGCAGCCCTTGCCGCCACCATGGAACGACAAGACCACGGCCTTTGAGAAGATCATAGTACTCAAGGCGCTGCGTCCGGACTCGGTCTTCCTGGGCGTTCGCAACTTTATAGCGAACACAATTGGAGATCAGTACGTGTCGCCGCCCGAATTCGACATATCCAAGTCGTATGCAGACTCCACGGCTCTTACTCCGCTGCTGTTCATCTTGTCTCCGGGCGCTGATCCGCTGGGCTCCCTGCTGGCATTTGCCGAAAAAATGGGCCAGGAGGAGTCGTTCCAGAGCATCTCGCTTGGCCAGGGTCAGGGCCCAATTGCGACCGCTCTCATCAAGAATGCTCAGGAAATGGGCTACTGGGTTTGCCTGCAAAATTGTCATCTGGCCGCATCCTGGATGCCCACCCTGGAGTATTTGTGGGAGAATATGGACACGTTTAACACGCAGGGTGAGTGCATCCCAGCAGCTCCCAAATATACGATTTATACAACTTTCCGTTTGACTTTTCAGCGAACTTCCGCATTTGGCTTACGGCGTATCCCACGCCCCAGTTTCCGGTGACGATCCTCCAGAACGGCGTTAAGATGACAAACGAACCGCCGACGGGTCTGCGCGAGAATCTGATGCGCTCCTACAATTCGGAGCCAATCAATGATCCCGAGTTCTATATGGGCTGCGCCAAGCAGGATCGCGCATTCACACGTCTGTTGTTCGGCATATGCTTCTTCCATGCCGTCGTCCAAGAACGACGCAAATACGGCCCCTTGGGTTGGAACATTGCATACGGCTTCAACGAGTCCGATCTACAGATTTCAGTGCTCCAGCTAAGCGTAAGGCATAAACGGGAACTGTATCTTGTTCTATTTATATTAACCATGTTGATGTCCTGCCTTGCAGATGCTGCTCAACCAGTACGAGCACGTGCCGTATGACGCCATCTCGTATCTGACTAGCGAGTGCAACTATGGCGGACGAGTCACGGATAATTGGGACAGGCGCGCGATTGTCACGATTCTTGCGGACTTTTGCAATCCGCAGGTGGTGTCCGACAACCGATTCCGCTTTGCCGCCGACGATCGTTACATATTGCCGCGTAAGACGGAGCATCGGGAGATTCTGCGCTATCTAGACGAGAGCATGCCGTCGCTGGCGCCGCCTGAGGTTTATGGCCTGCACGCGAATTCGGGCATTACGCGAGACTTGCAGACGACCAAAACTCTGCTGGACTCGATGATTTTGCTGCTAGGCAGCGAGGCGGCGGGCACGGCGAGCGGCGGCATTAGTCCGGAGCAAATGGTACTCAATACGATTAAACAGATCGAAACGGAAATGCCGCCCGACATGGACATCGAGGCGGCTGCCGAGAAATATCCAGTTGATTACAATGAATCAATGAACACGGTTGTCGTTCAGGAAATGGAACGCTTTCTGAAGCTACAGAAAGAGATTCGCGCCTCATGCCGCGACCTGGCCATGGGCATAAAGGGCATCATTGTGATGACGCCCGATTTGGAAAATGTAATGACCGCCATGAAATTCAATCGTATACCGCTCAAGTGGATGAGCAAGTCCTACCCCTGTCTCAAGCCACTCGGCGCCTATGTACAGGATCTGTACAAGCGTCTTAATTGGCTGCATTTATGGCATCGGGTGGGCAAGCCGCCCACCTTCTGGCTGTCGGGTTTCTTTTTTACGCAGGCTTTCCTCACCGGCGCCATGCAGAATTATGCCCGAAAATATAAAATACCAATTGATACGCTCACCTTCGACTACGACGTGCTCAAGGTGGAGACAAAAAGCGTGGCGCCCGATGACGGTGTCTACTGCAACGGCCTCTTCCTGGAGGGCGCACGCTGGCACTGGGAACAGAACATGTTGGTTGAACAGCTGCCAAAGGTACTCATGTACGTGATGCCCGTCATCTACTTCCGGCCAATAACCCTAATGGAGGTCACCGAGGGCACGCGTTATCGCTGCCCGCTGTACAAGACGGGCGAGCGTAAGGGCACGCTATCCACGACCGGACACTCCACCAACTATGTGGTTCCGCTGCTGCTCAACACACAGATGAAGGCCTCTCACTGGGTGAAGCGGAGCGTAGCGCTCATCTGCCAGACCAACGATTAAATGAGACGTATATTTTATTCATACAAGGAGAAACAAGACACAAACAAACGCACATTATGTTCTTCGATGCGTGTGGTATTTATTGGAAATTGTTCAAAATTAGAATATGGGCGCGCTTATTTGTATATTCACAGCATTTGAAAACGCTTTCAAATAAAAGACGTAGAGCTCGCAAACTTTCAGGTGCTCGCAACAGACAAAAAATATATAAAAAATAATGAAAAACAAATAATGCATGCTTTCCGGGACTTTTAAAGACCAGGAAACCAAACACGAATACGTTATGTAGACTTTGGATTAATGACAACGCTAATAGGGTGACGGATGATGCAGTTCTTCCTTCTCATTGCGAGCGGCAGCCAAGCGGATCGGCATTGCCCTCATCGGAGCTGCTTGGATTGCTGTCTCGGCGACGCGGCGGTTCCTGGTTGGCGGCGGCGTCGGCATTGCCGGGACTGGAGCTGATGCTGCTGCTGCTACTACTGCTGCTGCTCCGGAAAAGATTACGATTGCGCTCCCGCGGACCACCCTGTTCACCGCCGCCTGCTGCACCACCTGCACTGCGACGTGGCTCGATCAGCTGACGTATGAAATAATGAATCTGATTAATGTCAAAGTCGCCAACGTCCAACAGACTGCGTCTAAAGTTCCTCTGCAGCGTCTCCTTCAGCGCATCCGTGCGCGGCACCTCCTAAATTTAGAAATTAGTTTCACCCCAAACGAGTAAACTAAGTCAACTTACAGCTTCGCTCAGGCCGCTGGGTGTCCAAATCTTAACGTTGTGATCCAGCCCAGAAGTGGCCAGCACAGGCATCGATGGATGCTGCTCCAGGCAGTTGACCACGCCGGCATGATCGCCCTTCACAAAGTTAATCACCGCCTCGGTGTTCTTGTCCCAGAAAAAGATGTTGCCACAGTCGCTTCCACTTATTATGTACTCCGAGTGCGGTCCAAAGAAGTTGACCCCTTTAATGGTGCGGCTATTGCTGTAAATTGAATACGGAAGTATTAAATTGCCGTTTACATATATAAATATTTGTATACCCTCCCAGCGGGTATTAGGATTGTGTCACAGAATATGCAACGCATATCCAAACGCATTTACCATTCGGTTCGTAGGCCTGGGGTTTCATATTTGAAAACCTCGGTTCTGGCTCAGAGCACGGTAAGTGGACATTTATAATTTAATAAATTAAGGTTGTAATCCAACAAAGTGTGGATTGGAAATTTTGACCTATGTCTATATACGAATCTTAGGGGTAAGATTTTCACATGAATTCCGACTAAAAAATCGGTTTTCAGATTATTATACCAGATTAATCTAGATGGAAAACCATAAAGAAAAAGCCAAACCTCGTGAAAATATGATGAGATTTGACCGAGTTATGGGGGTGAGAAATTTTGATCTATGTCTATATACGCACCTTGGGGTAAGATTTGGACATGAATTTTGACTAAAAATCGGTGTTCAGATTTTAATGCCAGATTAATCTAGCCGGAAAACCATTAGGAAAAATACAAATTTCGTGAAAATTGGTTGAGATTTGACCGAGTTATGGGGTTGTAAATTTTGACCTATGTCTATATACTAATCTTGGGGTAAGAAATGGACATGAATTCCGACTAAAAAATCGGTTTTCAGATTATTATACCAGATTAATCTAGATGGAAAACCATGAAGAAAAAGCCAAACCTCGTGAAAATATGATGAGATTTGACCGAGTTATGGGGGTGGGAAATTTTGATCTATGTCTATATACGAACCTTGGGGTAAGATTTGGACATGAATTTTGACTAAAAAATCGGTGTTCAGATTTTAATGCCAGATTAATATAGCCGGAAAACCATTAAGAAAAATACAAATTTCGTGAAAATCGGTTGAGATTTGACCGAGTTATGGGGTTGTAAATTTTGACCTATGTCTATATACTAATCTTGGGGTAAGAAATGGACATGAATTCCGACTAAAAAATCCGTTTTCAGATTATTATACCAGATTAATCTAGAGGGAAAACCATGAAGAAAAAGCCAAGCCTCGTGAAAATATGATGAGATTTGACCGAGTTATGGGGGTGGGAAATTTTGATCTATGTCTATATACGCACCTTGGGGTAAGATTTGGACATGTATTTTGACTAAAAAATCGGTGTTCAGATTTTAATGCCAGATTAATCTAGCCGGAAAACCATTAAGAAAAATACAAATTTCGTGAAAATCGGTTGAGATTTGACCGAGTTATGGGGTTGTAAATTTTGACCCATGTCTATATACTAATCTTGGGGTAAGAAATGGACATGAATTCCGACTAAAAATCGGTTTTCAGATTATTATACCAGATTAATCTAGAGGGAAAACCATGAAGAAAAAGCCAAGCCTCGTGAAAATATGATGAGATTTGACCGAGTTATGGGGGTGGGAAATTTTGAGCTATGTCTATATACGCACCTTGGGGTAAGATTTGGACATGAATTTCGACTAAAAAATCGGTGTTCAGATTTTAATGCCGGATTAATTTAGCCGGATAACCATTAAGAAAAATACAACTTTCGTGAAAATCGGTTGAGATTTGACCGAGTTATGGGGTTGTAAATTTTGACCGATGTCTGTATACTTATCTTGGGGTAAGATTTGGACATGAATTTTGACTAAAAAATCGGTTTTCAGATTATTATACCAGATTAATCTAGAGGGAAAACCATGAAGAAAAAGCCAAGCCTCGTGAAAATATGATGAGATTTGACCGAGTTATGGGGGTGGGAAATTTTGATCTATGTCTATATACGAACCTTGGGGTAAGATTTGGACATGAATTTTGACTAAAATTTCGGTGTTCAGATTTTAATGCCAGATTAATCTAGCCGGAAAACCATTTAGAAAAATACAAATTTCGTGAAAATCGGTTGAGATTTGACCGAGTTATGGGGTTGTAAATTTTGACCGATGTCTATATACTTATCTTGGGGTAAGATTTAGAAAAATACAAATTTCGTGAAAATCGGTTGAGATTTGACCGAGTTATGGGGTTGTAAATTTTGACCGATGTCTATATACTTATCTTGGGGTAAGATTTGGACATGAATTCCGACTAAAAAATCGGTTTTCAGATTATTATACCAGATTAATCTAGATGGAAAACCATGAAGAAAAAGCCAAGCCTCGTGAAAATATGATGAGATTTGACCGAGTTATGGGGGTGGGAAATTTTGATCTATGTCTACATACGCACTTTGGGGTAAGATTTGGACATGAATTTTGACTAAAAAATCGGTGTTCAGATTTTAATGCCAGATTAATCTAGCCGGAAAACCATTAAGAAAAATACAAATTTCGTGAAAATCGGTTGAGATTTGACCGAGTTATGGGGTTGTAAATTTTGACCTATGTCTATATACTAATCTTGGGGTAAGAAATGGACATGAATTCCGACTAAAAAATCCGTTTTCAGATTATTATACCAGATTAATCTAGACGGTAAACCATGAAGAAAAAGCCAAGCCTCGTGAAAATATGATGAGATTTGACCGAGTTATGGGGGTGGGAAATTTTGATCTATGTCTATATACGCACCTTGGGGTAAGATTTGGACATGAATTTTGACTAAAAAATCGGTGTTCAGATTTTAATGCCAGATTAATTTAGCCGGATAACCATTAAGAAAAATACAACTTTCGTGAAAATCGGTTGAGATTTGACCGAGTTATGGGGTTGTAAATTTTGACCGATGTCTGTATACTTATCTTGGGGTAAGATTTGGACATGAATTTTGACTAAAAAATCGGTTTTCAGATTATTATACCAGATTAATCTAGAGGGAAAACCATGAAGAAAAAGCCAAGCCTCGTGAAAATATGATGAGATTTGACCGAGTTATGGGGGTGGGAAATTTTGATCTATGTCTATATACGAACCTTGGGGTAAGATTTGGACATGAATTTTGACTAAAATTTCGGTGTTCAGATTTTAATGCCAGATTAATCTAGCCGGAAAACCATTTAGAAAAATACAAATTTCGTGAAAATCGGTTGAGATTTGACCGAGTTATGGGGTTGTAAATTTTGACCGATGTCTATATACTTATCTTGGGGTAAGATTTAGAAAAATACAAATTTCGTGAAAATCGGTTGAGATTTGACCGAGTTATGGGGTTGTAAATTTTGACCGATGTCTATATACTTATCTTGGGGTAAGATTTGGACATGAATTTCGACTAAAAAATCGGTTTTCAGATTATTATACCAGATTAATCTAGATGGAAAACCATGAAGAAAAAGCCAAGCCTCGTGAAAATATGATGAGATTTGACCGAGTTATGGGGGTGGGAAATTTTGATCTATGTCTACATACGCACTTTGGGGTAAGATTTGGACATGAATTTTGACTAAAAAATCGGTGTTCAGATTTTAATGCCAGATTAATCTAGCCGGAAAACCATTAAGAAAAATACAAATTTCGTGAAAATCGGTTGAGATTTGACCGAGTTATGGGGTTGTAAATTTTGACCTATGTCTATATACTAATCTTGGGGTAAGAAATGGACATGAATTCCGACTAAAAAATCCGTTTTCAGATTATTATACCAGATTAATCTAGACGGTAAACCATGAAGAAAAAGCCAAGCCTCGTGAAAATATGATGAGATTTGACCGAGTTATGGGGGTGGGAAATTTTGATCTATGTCTATATACGCACCTTGGGGTAAGATTTGGACATGAATTTTGACTAAAAAATCGGTGTTCAGATTTTAATGCCAGATTAATCTAGCCGGAAAACCATTAAGAAAAATACAAATTTCGTGAAAATCCGTTGAGATTTGACCGAGTTATGGGGTTGTAAATTTGGCCCATGTCTATATACTAATCTTGGGGTAAGATTTGGACATGAATTCCGACTAAAAAATCGGTTTTCAGATTATTATACCATTTTAATCTAGAGGGAAAACCATGAAGAAAAAGCCAAACCTCGTGAAAATATGATTAGATTTGACCGAGTTATGGGGGTGGGAAATTTTGATCTATGTCTATATACGAACCTTGGGGTAAGATTTGGACATGAATTTTGACTAAAATTTCGGTGTTCAGATTTTAATGCCAGATTAATCTAGCCGGAAAACCATTTAGAAAAATACAAATTTCGTGAAAATCGGTTGAGATTTGACCGAGTTATGGGGTTGTAAATTTTGACCCATGTCTATATACTAATCTTGGGGTAAGAAATGGACATGAATTTCGACTAAAAATAGGTTTTCAGATTATTATACCAGATTAATCTAGAGGGAAAACCATGAAGAAAAAGCCAAGCCTCGTGAAAATATGATGAGATTTGACCGAGTTATGGGGGTGGGAAATTTTGATCTATGTCTATATACGCACCTTGGGGTAAGATTTGGACATGAATTTTGACTAAAAAATCGGTGTTCAGATTTTAATGCCAGATTAATCTAGCCGGAAAACCATTAAGAAAAATACAAATTTCGTGAAAATCCGTTGAGATTTGACCGAGTTATGGGGTTGTAAATTTGGCCCATGTCTATATACTAATCTTGGGGTAAGATTTGGACATGAATTTCGACTAAAAAATCGGTTTTCAGATTATTATACCAGATTAATCTAGAGGGAAAACCATGAAGAAAAAGCCAAGCCTCGTGAAAATATGATGAGATTTGACCGAGTTATGGGGGTGGGAAATTTTGATCTATGTCTATATACGCACCTTGGGGTAAGATTTGGACATGAATTTCGACTAAAATATCGGTGTTCATATTTTAATGCCAGATTAATTTAGCCGGAAAACCATTAAGAAAAATACAAATTTCGTGAAAATCGGTTGAGATTTGACCGAGTTATGGGGTTGTAAATTTTGACCGATGTCTATATACTTATCTTGGGGTAAGATTTGGACATGAATTTTGACTAAAAAATCGGTTTTCAGATTATTATACCAGATTAATCTAGAGGGAAAACCATGAAGAAAAAGCCAAGCCTCGTGA